GATGGAGACCATCCTGGCTAACACGGTGAAACCCCGTTTCTACTAAAAATACAAAAAATTAGCCGAGCGGGGTGGCGGGTGCCTGTAGTCCCAGCTAGTCGGGAGGCTGAGGCAGGAGAATGGCATGAACCTGGGGGACGGAGGTTGCAGTGAGCCGAGATCCTGCCACTGCACTCCAGCCTCGGCAACAGAGCGAGACTCCGTCTCCAAAAAGAAAAACAGAACCTGGCGCCTGGTGGTAAAGTGGCGAAGAGAGGATTCAAGGCTGCCTTTGAGGCTCTGAGCTTCAGTTACCAGGTGTTTACCATAGAACTAGAAGATGCTGAGCTGGCTTGGGATGAACTTAGGAACTGAACTTTAGATACTTGGCAATGCTGCAGACGGCTGGCAAGGCAGAGCGGGAACAGCTCGGTCAGAGATGTTGTTAATGGCCATGCAGGTGGTAAAGGGATGCTGCAATGATTTAAAAATTTATATTTGTTTATGGCTGAACGCAGTGGCTCACGCCTCTAATCCCAGAACTTTGGGAGGCCGAGGCGGGCGGATCATCTGAGATCAGGAGTTCGAGAGCAGTCTGGCCAACGTAGTGATACCTTGTCTCTGCTAAAAATATAAAAATTAGCTGGGCGTGGTGCACACACCTGTAATCCCAGCTACTTGCAAGGCCAAGACAGGAGAATCGCTGGAACCTGGGAGGTGGAGGTTGCAGTGAGCCAGGATTGTGCCACTGCACTCCAGCCTTTGCGACAGAGTGAGACTCTATCTCAAAAAACAAAACAAAGCAAAATATATATATATATGTGTGTGTGTGCGTGTGTGTGTGTGTGTGTGTGTTTAATATAAATGGTGCTGAAATGTGGCCATGACAGCCCTCCCAAGACATGGGACCTTCCTTCTGTTGTCACCTCAGTACATTTCCCGTGGGATAGGCTTCCAAAGGTCAAAGCCTGTGTCTTGTGTGCTCATGCCCTCTTCTGCTCCCTCTAGTACAGGGTGCCGGGCATGCAGCACGCAGGAACCACTCCTGGTCCCTGGGCACAGACTACGGACGCTAAGTTATTTCAAGCTCGGAGCGTTACTCACTTCAGCTCAGCACCTCTCACCTTGTCCTGAGGCTTTCAGTTCCAGTTTCAATTCACCATTCAACATTTTTTTTTTTTTTTTTTTTGGGACGGAGTCTTAAAGAGCTTAGGAGCTGAGCTTTATATACTTGGCAAGGCTGCAAACGGCTGGAGTGCAGTGGCGCGATCTCGGCTCACTGCAACCTCCACCTCCCGGGTTCAAGCAATTCTCTTGCTTCAGCCTCTCGAGTAACTGGGATTACGGGCGCCCGCCACCATGTCGGGCTCATTTTTGTGTTTTCAGTAGAGACGGGGTTTCGCCGTGTTGCCCAGGTTGGTGTCAAACTCCTGACCTCAGGTGATCCGCCCACCTCGGCCTCCCAAAGTGCTAGGATTATAGGGGTGAGCCACCATGCCCACCTACAATCTATTTAAAAGATGATTAGGCCAGGCACAGTGGCTCATGCCTATAATCCCAGTGCTTTCGGAGGCTGAGGCAGGAAGATTGCTTGAGTCCAGGAGTTCAAGACCAGCCTGGGCAATATAGCCAGACCCCATGTCTACAAAAAATACAAAACTTAACCAGCGTGGTGGTGTGCATCTATGGTCCCACGGGAGGCTGAGGTGGGAGGATCACCTGAGCCCAGGGAGGTCAAGGCTGCAGTGAGGTGTGATTGCGGCACCGCACTCCAGCCTGGATGACAGAGTGAGACCCTGTTTTGGGAAAAAACACAAAAATGATTAGTCCTTTGGTGGAGGGAGGAGTGGGGGTGAGACTAATTATGCCAGTAATTGATCTAATAGTATTTCACCTCCTGGGAGGAAGATTGTAGTCATGGGATCAATGTTGGAAAAGTTGTAGTTTTGTTAAATAAATAAAAGCTTATCTTGTAATTCACTAAAATAACTGTCAATTGTTTCCTATTGATTAGAACGTGTAAAGTTTGTGACTATACATTTTGTCTGTCACTCCTTTGTGACAGCTCCTAGATGTTTTGACAGCTGGCCTGCTCTGGGGAGCTGACCATGTAACCAACTACCATTTCTTTAGCCAGACGTGAGCTTTTTCAGTCTGACCCTTGTTCACTCACCCTTGACTTCCGCATCAAGCGGCAAGGGCAAGCTAGCATTTCTAGTCCTTATTTCTGTTCGTGTACATCCAAAATATACTGACAAGTCAATTCTATTGTTAAGAGGAAACTAATTTCACAGAACTGCTATAAAAAATGCGCAACAAGGGAGTCCTAATTTCACGAATGTGAAACAATTCTATTCTATTAGGCTTATGTTTTGAAGCGTCATGGCTTATGAGAAGCCTGTTGTGTCCTGACGAGGCTGACACTGTTTGCTTAACCTTATGTAGCTTTCTGTAAAAATTAATTTACTAAAACGTGACAAAATTTTAAAAAATTTAAAATATTATTGCTTCACTGAGGCTCAAATGAAAAATGCATGAAAACAATTTTTATATTTTTTTCCTCTCCTTTAAGATGGACTTAAAATGCTAGTTTATTTTATTTTGTTAATTTTTAGTTTTTTGAGTGTCTCTCTGTCTCCCAGGCTGGAGTGCAGTGGCCCGATCTCCGCTCTCTGCAACCTCTGCCTCCAGGACTCAAGCAATTCTCCTGCCTCAGCCTCCCGAGTAGTTGGGACTACAGGCGCACGCCACCACGCCTGGCTAATTTTTTGTATTTTAGTAGAGATGGGGTTTCACCGTGTTGCCCAGGCAGGTTGCCGACTCCTGAGCTCAGGCAATCCACCCACCTTGGTCTCCCAAAGTGTTGGGATTACAGGCATGAGCCACTGTCCCTGGCCACTAGTTTATTCTTTTGGAAAGATAAAGATATCTTCTTCTTCTTGTTTTTTTTGAGACGGAGTCTCACTCTGTCACCCAGGCTGGAGTGCAGTGGCGCGATCTTGGCTCACTGCAACCTCCGTCCCCTGGGTTCACGCCATTCTCCTGCCTCAGCCTCCTGAGTAGCTGGGACTACAGGCGCCCGCCACCTCGCCCGGCTAATTTTTTGTTTTCGTATTTTCAGTAGAGACGGGGTTTCACCGTGTTAGCCAGGATGGTCTTGATATCTTGACCTCGTGATCCGCCCACCTCGGCCTCCCAAAGTACTGGGATTACAGGCATGAGCCACCACGCCCGGCCTTATTTTTTTTTTTTGGAGACAGGGTCTCGCTCTGTCACCCAGGCTGGAATGCAGTGGTGCGATCTTGGCTCACTGCAAGCTCTGCCTCCCGGGTTCACGCCATTCTCCTGCCTCAGCCTCCCGAGTAGCTGGGATTACAGGCTCCTACCACTACGCCCAGCTAATTTTTGTATTTTTAGTAGAGATGGGGTTTCACCACATTGGGCCAGTCTGGTCTCGAATGCCTGACCTCAGATAATCTGCCCTCCTCGGCCTCCCAAAGTGCTGGGATTACAGGCACGAGTCACTGCGACCCGCCAAAACTATGTTCTTTTAAAGGCAGAGACTGGAAAGGAATAGGGACGATTTAAAAACCCAACTCTTCCCATTATATTTGAAATGGTGAAAAGCAGGTACCTTATTTTGCTTCCCAATATTATTTAGGAAATTTTTTAAAAATGAGGAAAAGAAAAATTGTATTTTAATAACAACATAAAACTTGGTTCTGCAGTTGCATTTTTCTTTTATGTTTGTGTTATATGTACCAAAGTTGTTCTTCTCTTTTTAAACAATGCTACATGTGGACAGTAGTAGGTGACAAATTTAATAGACTTAGTTTTTGGATCTTACTTGCCCTGGGTTGGTACTCTTAAAAATTAGTATAAGTCATTAGACTAAAAATATTTTTTCCTTTTATTTTCTAGTCAGTCTCTGCTTATCCAGACTAAAAAGAGTTTCAGATATTTAGATTTCTAAATAGAAGTAATTAAAAACATGAAGAGCTGAGAAAATTTTCGTCAGATTCACCTAAGTCCAATCCTTAGCATATCTAATTATATACACACTTTTCATACATAGATATACACATCTATGGGTATTTTCTTGATGTAATACATGCCAAATCTATCATTCGATGTAGATATATCTTATTAATTTATTTACTCTTACTCTTGCCCAGGCTGGAGTGCAGCAGCACCATCATAGCTCACCGCAGCCTCGCTCCTGGGCTCAAGCGATTCTCCCCCGTCAGCTTCCCAGTAGCTGGGACTACAGGCATGGACCATCATGCCTGGCTAATTTTTTTTTTTTTTTTTTGAAACAGAGTCTCACTCTGTTGCCCAGGCTGGAGTGCAGTAGTACAATCTCGGCTCACTGCAACCTCCCTCTCGTGGGTTCACGCGACCTCTCCTGGGTTCAAGCGATTTTCACACCGCAGCCTCCTGAGTAGCTGGGACTACTCGGGTGGGCGGGCGGCGCCACAGGACAACCAGGCACTCACCACCACGCCTGGCTAATTTCTTTTGTATTTTTAGTAAAGATGGGGTTTCACCAAGTTGGCCAGGCTGGTCTTGAACTCCTGAGCTCAAGTGATCCGCCCACCTCGGCCTCCCCAAGTGCTGGCATTACAGGTGTGAGCCACCGCGCCCGCCCTTGATAATATTATAGATAGATAGATATGTCTATTTTTTTCTGGCGCACCGTCTTTGGAATCGAGCGACCACAGAGCCACACGCGGCTCTGAACCTGCTGCTGTCCTGCCCCTTTGACTCCCGCGTTGGAAGAAACGGCAACTGGGCTCCCCTCCCCCGAGGGCAGAGTCGGAGCGCAGCGGGGGCGGAGTCAGTGCGCGGTGGGGGCGGAGTCGGAGCGCGGCGGGGGCGGAGTCGGTGCGCCGTGGGGGCGGAGTAGGAGCGCGGCGCGGGCGGAGTCGGTGCGCGGTGGGGGCGGAGTCGGAGCGCGGCGGGGGCGGAGTCGGAGCGCGACGGGGGCGGAGTCGGAGCGCGGCGCGGGCGGAGTCGCTGAGGACGGGGCGGGGCCTCGTGCTAACGGTCGCGCGCCCGTCGCACCTGCACGAGGCTGTGGCCCGAGCATCCTGTGGAGAAGCCGCGAAGCGCCGGCGACCCGGGGGTCGGGCGGGCCTGGTCCGCGAAGCTGCGGCTGCCTCTGTGCAGGCCCGGGGAGCAGCCGGCCGGGCGAGCGTCGGGTGAGCAGCGGCGTGGACCGCGTGGTGGCGACGCCGGCCCGGCCTCCAGCTGTGAGGCGGCGTCGGAGGAAGGGAGCCCGCGCGGGTCAGGGCCCGGCTTTGGGCCGGCGGACGCCCCGAGGGAGCGGCGGGCGCGCGCGTGAGGGGCGGGGGCGGGCGGAGCCGCGCCGCGTGTGGGGTACGTGCCTGCGCCCCACGCGGAGTCCGGTCCCCGCCGCATCCTCGGCTCACCGCGGGGTTGGCGGGGGCGGGTTGTCCTGTGGCGCCGCCCGCCCTCCCAGCGCCTCCCGCGGCCTCCGCAGCTTTGCCTTTCCCGGGGCTTATCGAGGCCGGTGCCGGAGGACACGCGGGAAAGCCCCTCGCGGAGCTGAGAGCCTCTGACTTGTGGGTCCAACTTTGAGTTTTCCAAGCCGCGAACTGTAAGTTAAAAAGTGCAGCGGTGGCTCACGCCTGTTATCCCAGCACTTTGGGAGGCCGAGGCGGGTGGATCACCTGAGGTCGGGGGTTCGAGACCAGCCTGACCAACATGGAGAAACCCCGTCTCTACGAAAAATACAAAACTAGTCGAGCGTGGTGGCGGGTGCCTGTCGTCCCAGCTACTCGGGAGGCTGAGGCAGGAGAATCGCTGGAACCCGGGAGGCGGAGGTTGCGATGAGCCGAGATCGCACCACTGCACTCCAGCCCAGGCGACAGTGACACTCCATCACAGACACACACACACGCACACAAAACCGGGCGCGGTGGCTCACCCCTGTAATCCTTTGGGATTACTTCAGCTTTGGGAGGCCGACGTGACCAGCCTGGCCAACATGGTGAAACCCCATCTCTACAAAAAATACAAAAATTAGCCGGGCGTGGTGGCGCGCTCCTGTAATCCTAGCTACTTGGGAGACTGAGACAGGAGAATTGCTTGAACTCAGGAGGCAGAGGTTGCAGTGAGCCAAGATCACGCCATTGCACTTCAGCCCGGGCGACAGAAAAAAAAAAAGTGCAGATGTCTGCTGGGTACTGTGGCTTATGCCGGTCATCCCAGTGCTTTGGGAGGCCGAGGTGGGAGGATCACCTGAGGTGAGGATTTGGAGACCAGCCTGGCTAACATGGTGAAACCCTGTCTCTACTTAAAAAAAAAAAAAAATTAGCCAAGCTTGCTGGTGGTGCGCCTGTAATCCCAGCTACTTGGGAGGCTGAGGCAGGAGAATCGCTTGAACCAGGGATGCGGAGGTTGCAGTGGGCCAAGGTTGCGCCATTGCACTCCAGCCTGGGAAGCAGAACAGACCCTGTCTCAAAAAAAAAGAAAAAAGAAAAAAGAAAAAAATCGTAGGAACCTCATCACTGAGCTCCCTGGAAGCTTCATTTGTCTACAATAGCAAGATAGAAATCACACTTGTTCCCATAACTTCAGTGCATGTTATATATGTAAAATTAGCTGTTAACTAAATTTCTAGTTCTCCAAAAGGCTAATTGTAGCAATATTATCCTCAGTTGACAAATTAGATCGCTTTTAAAAGGGCTCATGTATTCATTTAGTGAGCACATACCTGGCAGCTGCTGCGTGTGAGGCCCTGAACTGCATGGTTACTGTGGGGTGCAGTGAGGACGTGGCTCTGTCCTGACGAGCTACTGTGTCATGAGGGAGAAAGACAACACAGCAGGCAACTGGCAGTGTCCAGAGGGGAGTTCAGAGGCACGGCTGCGTGAGGCAGGGTGGCAGGAAAGGCCTCTCCTGGAGACCTGAGGAGAGCCTGGTTTGGAAAGATGGGGATGCTGGAGAAAGAGGTGCTACATCTGCGAAGGCCCGAGGCCCATGCTGAGGAAATGCCCGCAGCCAGGGGACCAGAGAGCCAGGGGACCGGAGAGCCAGGGGACCAGAGAGCCAGGGGACCAGAGAGGCCAGGTTAGCTGGGCATGGCATGCTACCGCAAGGAGTCTGGATTTAAGTCAGGGTGCCATGGGAAGGGTTATTTTTTTGTTTGTTTTTGAGACAGATTCTTGCCCAGTTGCCTAGGCTGGAGTGCAGTGGTGCAGTCTTTGCTCACTGCAACCTCCGCCTCCCTGGTTCAAGGATTCTCCTGCCTCAGCCTCCTGAGTAGCAGGGATTATAGGTATGCGCCACCATGTCTGGCTAATTTTTTGTATTTTTAGTATAGACAGAGTTTCACCATGTTGGCCAGGCTGGTCTCAAATTCCTGACCTCGTGATCTGCCCACCTCAGGTGAAACCCCATCTCTACAAAGAATACAAAACTTAGCTGGATGTGGTGGCAGGCTTCTGTAATCCCAGCTACTGGGGAGGCTGAACCAGGAGACTTGCTAGAACCCTGGAGGTGGAGGTTGCAGTGAGCCGAGATCGCACCACTGCACTCCGGTCTGGGCAACAGAGCAAGACTCCGTCAAAAAAAAAAAAAAATTGTAGAATAAAAGAGACAGTAGTTGTTGATGAATGAAGTCATCTCTGAATTCTCAGATTGAGCTCTTTCGTTCATATTAATCTTGTATCTGTTAAAGTGGCCAGGTAGAGAAGCAAGTCATATTTTTTTGTGGGCAGACACTAAAGTCTACTACCATATACCTCTAACGGTAGCAGACAAGGGAATTCAGAGAGATAATAGGATACCATGTTCCACCAAGAGATACTAAGGGATAAAAATGTGGAGAAATCGCTTGATGTGTAGGTAGTTGTGTTTGTACAGAAAGTTCAGCCACTGACTCAAATGTCTGACTCATCCTCTCGACTCATTTGTCTGGCACTTTGGGCTGTAAATAAATATTAGTTGAATGGCTGGATGAGTGAATGAATTTGTTACAGTTTGGCAAGTGTTTTAGATAGTGACATTGCATTGTAAGCCACATCAGACCAGGCCAAATAATGAATTAAAAACTTGACACAGCTTAATTTCCAAATGTTTCTTCTGGCACTGAAAGGCCTTGAATACAAAAACTGGTACATTGGATAGTATTGACAAGCAGTGCTATCATTGGTTGTGAGCCTGTGAACATTCAGGCATCTTGTATACACTGTTTCTATTTTTCATTGCAAAGTTGATGTTATCCACAGTTTAAGGATGAGGGAATTAATGTTTAGTAATGTTAAAACACACGACTACAAACTAGTGGTGCTGCAATTCAAAATCACATTTGACTAACTCCACAGGCTGCCTGAAACTCAGGTGTCATGAGACACATCCTTGAACTGGAGCCTGTGGGTGTGGGCATTCCTAGAGTTAAAGAGGCCCTGGATTATTAAGTGAAGTCAAGTCAATCTGTTTGGTGTAGCTTAGAATTTTTCTACAGTAGAACCTTTTATAGTGATGATATTGAGGGACAAACCACCATTTCGTTCATCTGATATTTATTGTTTTCAGTTATGAAATACATACATAAAAATATGTAAGATGCCACCTCTCTCCTCATGGAGTTTACCATGTAGAGGTGTGTTTAAAATTACTGCCTTTCCCGGGCTGGGCGCAGTGGCTCATTCCTGTATTCCCAGCACTTTGGGAGGCTGAGGTGGGTGGATCATGAGGTCAGGAGATCAAGACCATCCTGGCTAACACAGTGAAACTCCATCTCTACATAAAATGCAGAAAAATTAGCCGGGTGTGGTGGCATGTGCCTGTAGTCCCAGCTACTTGGGAGGCTGAGGCAGGAGAATCGCTTGAACCTGGTAGGCAGAGGTTGCAGTAAGCCGAGATCGCGCCACTGCACTCCAGCCTGGGCGACAGAGCGAGACTCCATCTCAAAAAAAAAAAAAAAAAATGGCCGGGCGCGGTGGCTCAAGCCTGTAATCCCAGCACTTTGGGAGGCCGAGATGGGCGGATCGCAAGGTCAGGAGATCGAGACCATCCTGGCTAACCTGGTGAAACCCCGTCTCTACTAAAAAAAAAAATACAAAACACTAGCCGGGCGAGGTGGCGGGCGCCTGTAGTCCCAGCTACTTGGGAGGCTGAGGCAGGAGAATGGCGTGAACCCGGGAGGCGGACCTTGCAGTGAGCTGAGATCCGGCCACTGCACTCCAGCCTGGGCGACAGAGCAAGACTCCGTCTCAGAAAAAAAAAAAAAAAAAATTACTACCTTTCCCTTCAGACAGTATAATCAAATACTCAATTTGAGGTGTTTACAGTAGTTTTTTGCTGTATTTTTTGAGGTAGCTTGATGCTAATAGGTATTTAAATCCTTAAATGTCCCATTGAGGCCAGGTGCGGTGGCTCATGCCTGTAATCCCAGCCCTTTGGGAGGCTGAGGCAGGCGGATCACGAGGTCAGGAGATTGAGACCACCCTGGCTAACATGGTGAAACCCCATCTCTACTAAAAATACAAAAACAGAATCAGCTGGGTGTGGTGACGGGCGCCTGTAATCCCAGCTACTTGGGAGGCTGAGGTGGGAGAATGGCGTGAACCTAGGAGGTGGAGCTTACAGTGAGCCAAGATTGCACCACTTCACTCCAGCCTGGGCAACAGTGAGACTCCATCTCAAAAAAAAAAAAAAAAGTCCCACTGAATCATCTTGCATGTAAAACTCTAAATTTGGCTGGGCTTGGTGGCTCATGCCTGTAATCCCAGCACTTTGGGGCGGGTGGATCACTTGAAATCAGGAGTTCGAGACCAGCCTGGCCAGCGTGGTGAAACCCTGTCTCTACAGGGTTTTGTCTTGTAAAAATACAAAAATTGGCCGAGCGTGGTGGCTGGCACTTGTAATCCCAGCTATTCGGGAGGCCGAGGCAGGAGAATCCCTTGAGCCCGGGAGGTGGACATTTCAGTGAACTGAGATTGTGCCACTGCACTCCAGACTGGGACACAGAGTGAGACTGATGTCTCAAGAAAAAAAAAAAAAAAAGAAAATAAATAAATAAAAATTAAAAAATAAAACTAAATTTACATGGTGCTCAAAAACTACTAAATTTTACACGGTTTTAGAAATGAAAGTTAAGAATTGAAACCTATAATAGCTATATCATTCAAAATTATAAAAGGACATTCTGAACATGTTTTCTATAGGTTGAATCAATATTAATGTACATTTTACCATTACAATAAAATTTTATAAAGAAGGAGTAAAATATCCAGTGCTTTCCTACGTAATATTTTATTTTATTTTATTTATTTATTTTTTGAGATGGAGTCTCGCTCTGTCACCCAGGCTGGAGTGCAGTGGCGCAGTCTTGGCTCACTGCAAGCTCCACCTCCTGGGTTCACGCCATTCTCCTGCCTCAGCCTTCTGAGTAGCTGGGACTACAGGCGCCCACCACCATGCCCGGCTAATTTTTTATATTTTTAGTAGAGACAGGGTTTCACCATGTTAGCCAGGATGGTCTCGATCTCCTGACCTCATGATCCGCCCTCCTCGGCCTCCCAAAGTGCTGGGATTATAGGCATGAGCCACCGCGCCTGGCCAATAATATTTTATGTTATTTTGTTTTATTTATTTTTGAGACAGAGCATTGCTCTGTTGCCCAGGCTGGAGTGCAGTAGTGTGATCTTGGCTCAGTGCAACTTCCACCTCCCAGCTTCAAGCACTTCTTCCTGTCTCAGCCTCCTGAGTAGCTGGGATTACTGGCTCCCGCTCCACATGAGGTTTTGCCATGTTGGCCAGGCTGGTCTTGAACTCCTGACTTTGGGCGATCTGCCCACTTCAGCCTCCCAAAGTGCTGGGATTACAGGTGTGAGCCACCACGTCCGGCCCTAAATAATATTTTAAACTCTTGGAATTTTTCATGATTTATTTCATTTATTCAGTTTATATATCTAAATTATATTTTCTAAAATGCAGATTAAAAAAATGGCAAACTCCTTTGCAACGAGGACCTTCACTACCCTTTCAGATCTGCAGCCAAATATGGCTAATCTGGTAGGTTTCAATGATGTGGTGATTTGCTCACTAACAAAATCTTATGTGATAAAATTGCATCAACATTATTCATTCATTCAACACATGCTTTTATAATGGACAAGTATATAGATACTGATTGCATTGGTATAATTGTTAGATATTAAGTATACCAAAATTTCTTTGTATTTATGCCACCTAGATGAAAATTAATCTTTATTTGTATGTAGAGTAGAAGATATGATTGTAGATATGACTAGTAATTGTTCAAAATTATTAATAGATGTATTATTTTAATTAAATATTTAATAAAGTGAAAAATTTAATTCATGCTCAAATTTAGCGTTGTAAAATTAAACCAGGCCGGGCACGGTGGCTCACACCTGTAATCCTAGCACTTTGGGAGGCTGAGACAGCTGGATCACCTGAAGTTGGGAGTTCGAGACCAGCCTGACCAACATGGAGAAACTCCCGTCTTTACTAAAAATACAAAATTAGCTGGGCATGGTGGCTCATGCCTGTAATCTCAGCTACTCAGGAGGCTGAGGCAGGAGAATCGCTTGAAGCCAGAAGGCGGAGGTTTCAGTGAGCCGAGATCACGGCATTGCACTCCAGCCTGGGCAACAAGAGCGAACCTCTGTCTCAAAAAAAAAAAAAAAACAACAAAAAACAAAACAAAACAAAACAAAAAAAACCCATTTGGTTCAGCAGTAGCAGTTTTCTAACCAAATTATCGAAGTTATGGTCTAAGTATTTGACATTATGCTGCTTTTATGATACAAGGTTTATAACAGGTGTGTTTTCTGAAATTATTATGTGAAAATTGACTTTTTGAGCAGTAGTTATAGGGGAATTCAGTGATTTTGAACACACCTCAACTGTTACTTATTTTAAAAAAAAACTGGGTGGAATCATCTTATAAGTTAAAGAACTTATTGTAAAGCAACTACCACACACCCTTACCTTCCCTGCCCCTGAGCAGTCACTATATTTTGCTTTTGCAAACTGGATTTCTTACAATGGAATACATTTACATATAACTTTAATAATTTAAAATTTATAAATATTAAAAAAAACAATTGTTATAGTTTTTCTTGAAAGGTAAACTATTTGCTAATAATGGTCTCTTCAGATAGAAAGTTTTACTCAACATTTCCATCAGCTGGATTTTCCAACAAAATTCAGTGAGATCTGCATGTATAAGGAATTGAAGAAATAATACCAATGTGTCTAAATAAGCAATAAGGCTAGCTGATAGCTCAGCTAGAATGTAGGAGTCTTAAAAGCCTGATTGTAATGTAAATGTCACAGATTATTGTAAGGTTAAAATCAGTTGCTGCAATTAGCAAAATAAGTTTAGTTTTTTCCTTTCAGAAAAGGTATTCATTTTTATTTTTTATTTATTTTTTATTTTTATTTATTTATTTATTTTGAGATGGAGTCCTGTTCTGTTGCCCGGGCTGAAGTGAAATAGTAGGATCTCAGCTCACTGCAGTCTCTGCCTCCCGGATTCAAGCGATTCTTCTGCCTCAGCTCGCGAGTAGCTGGGATTACAGGCACCCATCACCATACCCAGCTAATTTTTTGTATTTTTAGTAGAGATGGAGTTTCACCATGTTGATCAGACTGGTCTTGAACTCATGACCTCAGGTGACCCACCCGCCTCGGCCTCCCAAAGTGCTGGGATTACAGGTGTGAGCCACCACACCCGGCCCATTTTTATTTCTTAAAACGCATTTAAAATTTTTCTTCAGTAGTCACTGAAGAGAACATTAAACATTTTAAGGAGATGTTAATATCTCTGAGGTTTAAGATCTAGGACTTTAGGATTTAGATTTATTAGTGGCAAAATATAAGTTTTGTTACAGTCTGATTTATATTACTGTCCAGCATGTTTGGATTAGGAAGCTAAGCTATTTTATGTGGATTGTTAGAAAACCCTATATAAAGGAAAGCTTTGAAGACCGTGGCAAACTAAATTGCATTATACATGAGCTTTGGATAAATTCAATAAGGATTGATAGCATAGGGCAGTTATTGTGCTCCATCTAGTGATTGAAAATAAAATAGAAACATGCTAAGAATTAAATGATTATAATAGTAGTTAACTTTTGGATTACTTTGTACTATTCCTTGTGGAATTGAACATTTATGAACTTCTTTTAGATGTTTGCATGGAATAAATACATTTAAATGTTCCAAGTCAGAAATGTTTGTTAGAGCCAGTAAAGTATAACAAACCCATGAAATTAAATTTACCATGTACATCTGTGTTTAATATTGGTCTTCTGTAACCTTTTTGTTTTTCAGAAAGTAATTGGTGTAGTTATTGGGAAAACAGATGTCAAAGGCTTTCCAGACAGAAAAAGCTGAGTTTGTTTAACTCTTTGCTTCATTTTTCATCAACTTTGGCTTATGACTACAACAAAGTATATTTAAGTGATTAATTTTTCTATGCCTGTTTAACTCCTTAAGAGCAATGGTCATGCTCTCTATTGGATGGTCAAGTACCTGATTCAAGGCTCTCTCTTTCCCTCCCTCCCACATTTTCTCTCTCTCTCTCTATATATATATATATGTATATATACATATGTGCATATATATGTATATTTGAGCACATGTGTTCTCTCTCTGCTTTTTTTTTTTTTTGAGACAGAGTCTCACTGTGTCTCCCAGACTGGAGTGCAGTGGCGTGATCTCGGCTCACTGCAAGCTCCACCTCTCGGGTTCACGCCATTCTTCTGCCTCAGCCTCCCGAGTAGCTGGGACTACGGGCACCCGCCACCACGCCCGCCTAATTTTTTGTGTTTTTAGTAGAGACAGGGTTTCACCGTGTTAGCTAGGATGGTCTCGATCTCCTGACCTCGTGATCCACCCGCCTCTGTCTCCCAAAGTGCCGGGATTACAGGCGTGAGCCACCATGCCTGGCCGCTTTTTTTTTTTTCGAGATGGAGTCTCGCTCTATCACTCAGGCTGGAGTGCAATGGCACGATCTCAGCTCACTGCAACCTCTGCCTCCCGGGGTCAATCGATTCTCATGCCTCAACCTCCCAAATAGCTGGAATTACAGGCACATGCCATCATGCCCGGCTAATTTTTGTATTTTTAGTAGAGATGGGATTTCACCATGTTGGCCAGGCTGGTCTTGAACTCCTGACTTCAACTGATCTCCCTGCCTCGTCCTCCCAAAGTGCTGGAATTACAGGTGTGAGCCACCGCGGCCAGCGCCTGGCTGATTGAAAAAAAATTTTTTTGTAGAGACAGGGTCTTGCTCTCTTGCCCAGGCTGGTCTCAAACTCCTGGGCTCAAGTGATCATCCCACCTCAGCCTCCTAGAGTGCTGGGGTTACAGGCATGATGCTTTTATCTTTAAGGTAAATACAAAGCTGTCATCTGGTACCCTTATCATTTGTGCACGCACTTTGTTTCGTCTTAACTAATTAGATCAGAATTACTAAATAAATAGTTTGAGAAAGTCTATATATCTTTTTACCAAACTTCATAAGGCGCCATTGCACTCCAGCCTGGGCAACAGGAGTGAAACTCCGTCTCAAAAACAAACAAACAAACAAACAAACAAAAAACATGGTTATTCACCTATCAGACTGTGAGGGAAGGAGAAAAGCTTCTGTGTTGTTTGGCTTCTTTTTATGATGACATCTGTGATATTCCTTTTTTGGAGGAAGTATGCTTACTGACTTAAAACATTGTACATACAACATTATATTTTCATAAAACATTCCAGCAGTACCAAAGGTCATAGAGTTGAAAAGTAAAATTCCCCTTTTCAGCTCCTCACTTTCCCCATCCTAGTCCTCTCCCTAGAGGTAGACACTATGACAGTTCAGAATATGTCCATAATTTGCGTGCATGTTGGGCTATATTACTTTTTTTAAAAAATTGAGATACGGTCTCGGTGTCACTCAGGCTGGAGTGCAGCAATGTGAACACAGCTCACTGCAGCCTCGACTCTGAGCTCAAGTGGTCCTCCTGCCTCAGCCTCCCATGTAGCCCAGACCACAGGTGCATGCTACCATGCCTGAATAATTTTTGGATTTTTTTGTAGAGACAGAGGGTCTCACTTTGTTGCCCTGACTGATCTTGAACTCCTTGGCTGAAGCAGTCTTACCCACTTGGCCTCCCAAGGTGCTGGGATTACAGGCAGGAGCAACTGCACCCAGCCAGGTTGTAATTTTTAATTAGCAAAACCAATATGAAATTTCTATTTTGGAAAAAAAGTATTTGCTGACCCCTAGTGGTCCTCATTAAGTAGCACATAATTTGTTTTGAAATAACTTATTTTAATTATTTTTCCTTTTATTAACATTCATTTTAATGCTGAATTTACTCCCGTGCCATAAGTTTTTGTTTCTTCAGTTTCTTCTGGGATATCTTTTTCTTCTGGGCAACCTCCTCTTCTGGTTTAGGAACAATCTGTTCCTTTTCAGTAAGGATCATCTCAATGTGGAAGGGAGAGCACATGTATGGGTTAATTCGACCATGAGCTCTGTAGGTCCGGCGGTGCATCTCAGGTGCGTTGTTCACTTGGATATGCTCAATGACCAGAGAATCTAAATCTAAATCCTTAAGTTCAGCATTAAGCTCTGCGTTTTTAAGCATGTGCAGTAAAAATTCAGCACTCTTTTTGGGCCACCGACCTTCTGTCCAGTCCCACTGCTTGGCCTGCGCACACCTGCCAACTCCACCATTGTGACGTTGGAATGGTATGCACTGTTTCTGTAAAGTGACATCTTTCAGATACTTGGTGGCTTTTCGTATATGCATACCCTTGATGGCCTGAGCGGTTTCACGAGTGTTCTTAAAGTGAACAGGAAGATTGGAACCTCTTGATTTGCATGATTTCATGGGGTTCTCCAGGTCAAGTGAATAGCGAACCCTTTTCACAGATTACCTCAGGCTGCTTAGGGAAAGAGGTTTTATTATTTTTAAAATTTATTTATTTTTTTTTAGAGACAGGGTCTCACTCTGTTCTTCCCCACCTCTGCTAAAAAACCTCATCTTGCCAGGTGCAGTGGCTCACGCCAGCATTTTGGGAGGCTGAGGCAGGCGGATCACGAGGTCAGGAGTTCGAGACCAGCATGGCCAACATGGTGAAACCCCATCTCTACTAAAAGTACAAAATTAGTCAGGCACGGTGGCAGGCGCCTGTAATCCCAGCTACTTGGGAAGGTGAGGCAGGAGAATTGCTTGAACCTAGGAGGCGGATGTTGCAGTGAGCTGAGATCATGCCATTGCACTCCAGCCTGAGTGACAAGAGCGAAACTCCGTCTCAAAAACAAACAAACAAAAAACAAAATCTGTTTTTACTAAAAAAAAGAAATACAAAAATTAGCCTGGCATGGTAGTGTGCGCCTGTAGTCCCAGCTGCTCGGGAGGCTGAGGCAGGAGAATAGCTTGAACTGGGAGGCGGGGGTTGCAGTGAGCTGAGAGATCGCGTCACTAAACTCCAGCCTGGGTGTACATTTCATGAACACCCTGAATTCATTCTTCTCAGACTGGAGTGCAGTGGTGCATTCAAAGCTCACTGCACACTTAAACTGGGCTCAAGCAGCCCTTCCTCCTCAGCCTCCCAAGCAGCTGAGACTAACGATGAGTGCCACCACTCGTTTTAACATTTTCTGTAGAGATGGAGTCCCTCTGTGTTGCCCAGGCTGGTTTTGAACTCCAGGCCTCAAGTGATTCTCCCACCTTGCCTCCCAAAGCCCCGGGATCACAGGGGTAAGCTGCTGTGCCTGGCCAATTTTTATTTTTATTTGATTACTAGTTATTTATTTATTTTTGAGACAGAGTTTCTCTCTTCACCCAGGCTGGATCTCGGCTCACTGCAACCTCCGTCTCCTGGGTTCAAGCAATTCTCCTGCCTCAGCCTCCCGAGTAGCTGGGATTACAGGCACCCACCACCACACCCGGCTAAGTTTTGTGTTTTTAGTAGAGACAGGGTTTCACCATGTTGGCCAGGCTGGTCTTGAACTAACCTCAGGTGATCCACCCACCTCGGTCTCCCAAAGTGCTGGGATTATAGGTGTGAACCATGGCGCCCAGCCTATTTTTATTTTTATTTTAGGGATGGGGTCTTGCTCTGTTGCCCAGTCTGGAGAGCAGTGGTGCAGTCACAGTTCACTGAAGCCTTGAACTTTTGGGCTTAAGCAGTCCCTCTGCTTCATCCTCCCAAGTAGCTGGGACTGAAATAACTATTTAGATCTGAATTATGACTTAGGTTCAAACAACAGTAAGAGAGAAAAGGAGAACCTAAGGTAATACCTGGATGGCTCAAGTTTACATGTCTTTCCCTCCAAATACACAGATCACCAGGGAAGGGAGCAAGGGGGCAACCTGTTACCACTTCAGTTTGAAATTCCTGGAAGCATAATGTTATAGAATATACATCTGAAAACATTTTGTTCCATGTGTTTGAGTGTTTTTATTATCATAATCAATAGTCATTTGATTAAAGAAATAATCATTTGTTTGTAATTGAAATGAAACTTTTCATGTGACACCAAAGGCAGAGAAGCGATTGAAACTCTTCATTTGAAAAATAAAAGCATTGGTTTTCCCTTAGATATTGGATCAGAAAGGTACACTTTCAGCTTCACCATTCGGGATTCACCAGCACATTTTGTAAATGCAGCTTCCTGGGGCAATGAAGATTACATCAAGTCTCTTTCTGACAGCTTTAGGGTTGGTGACTGTGGTAAGTTGGCATTGATTCTTAAATTTTTTCCATTGTATTATTCCTGTGGTATGTTTATGGTAACTACAGTGAAGGAGTTGAAATGAGACACAGTTCATAATTCTCAAGAACTTTACCAGAAAAAGTCAAGTGTTAATAGTATAATGTAGTGGGGCGTGGTGGCTCATGCCTATAATCCCAATACTTTGGGAGGCCGAGGCAGGTGGATTGCATGAGTCCAGGAGTTCAAGACTAGCCTGAGCAGTATGGCAAAACCCCATTTTTACAAAAAATACAAAAAATTAGCTGGGCGTGGTGGCGTGGGCCTGTAGTACCAGCTACTAAGGAGGCTGAAGTGAGAGGATGGCTTGAGCCTGGGAGGTGGAGGTTGCAGTGAGCCAACATCATGCCTCTGCACTCCAGCCTGGGTCACAGAGTAAGACCCTGTCTCAAAAAAAAAAAAAAAAAACAAGACTGCAGTGCAAAGCATTCAGAATGTTACTTAAAGCATACAAACATGATCGTTATATTTTTACCAGATAACCTTACTGTCTTTGGTTTATTACATATTTCAATTTGCATCAACCCATATTATTGTTATTATTGGTTATCTTTCTATAGACATATAAAATGGCCACTGAATATACTTTGATAAAAGTTGACATTTGACCACTGAATAGATTTGATAAAAACTGATATTTGAATTGTTAATGGGATTTTAAGGAACTTTACTTTTAGTTGAAATACCAAATCTTTTACATCTTCTACTCACCCTAGTATCTCTTTGACAGAACAGCCTCGTATAGTAGAAAGAACAGGAGACTTTGAAAGCACAGAGGTCTAGATTCAAATCCCAGTTCCAACATTTACTTACATTATGGCTTTGAGAAAATTTCTTAATCTTGTTGGGTCTCAACTATGAACTAATACCTCTTTAGGTTTTTGTAAATATTAAATGAGATAGTGTACCTAGTATAAAGTGTGGAACTTAGTCACTCAACAGATAACTTTTATGAGCCCTAGCCTCATAAAAGCAACAAGGAAGCATGTATACTAGCTCTCCTTCACGATAGAAAAAGAGAAAAGAGTAATGCAGGTAATGAAAACACTCTTCTTTAATACTGTGGTCTCAAGCAGCCCACTCCCCATATCAGTTATTTAGAACCTAATTATATATTGCTTTGTATTATTAACTTTCAGGACAGTGTATGGTATCTCTGTAGTTGAATAATAGGGTCAGTGAACGCATGGACTATGAAGGCAGAAAGCCTCACAAACTTCAGAGGGCCCAGTATAGTTATAGACGTCCCTTGAATAAATGCTGAAATATTAGTTACATATGGAGATAAATATTTCGATTTTGACATCTCAGTATCAAAATATGTTATATGTTGATGGTGGAGAAGAGGAATGAGGTGAGGAATTTTTAAAGCCTAGAGTCAGTGATGATTATACATTAAACAGGATGTTATTTAGGATTAGTGTGTTTATCTTGTTACTGTTTTGTAATATCATCGTACTTTGCCCTTTGTTTTAGTGATAATTGAAAATCCCCTGATCCAAAGAAAGGAAATAGAAAGAGAAGAAAAATTCAGCCCTGCAACTCCTAGGTAAGCATCTGTCTAGCACAGAGATCAACCTCTGGCACAGAGATTGTGCCAGAATGATCATTACTAATAATGTTCTGTCAGGTTAGCAGAGATCTTACTAAAAGTGTTCTGTTTCTATTTCAGTAAAAATGAGGAGTTTAATTTTCTCTTACAAAATTCATCTTTGATTATGACATAATTTACTTTGATACAGAGTCACATGAAAAATGGCTTTGGTTTAGTACTTTGATTCTCATTTTTAGATTTACTAAAATTTGACTTTGTCATGTTAAAACTGAGAAGAAAAGATAAACTTTGGAAATTACATCTATCTTTTTTCATATCAAGATATCCTTCTACTCACAGGCTTACCATCTTAGGGCAGATTCCTTCGAAGCGGAGCTTGAGAGGAGGACTCTTGTGGGAGTGGTTGGTTGAGGGTGAGCTCTCAGGGGAAGGCTAGGCAGGGAAGAAGGTGAACAGAGAAGTGGGTTCACCTGGAGCCTCAGCAGGAGCCCAGGAGGGAGCTCTGGAGTGGCAGTGGCCCCTTAGAGTAGTGTCCTGGCTGTAGTCCATCCACTCCCCAAACCCCCAGGGTGGGGCAGGGCATCAGCTCAAAGGCGGGTCTGGCAGTTCTGGAGAGAAGGGTGTGGCTGCGCCCCTGTACCAGCCTGTAAAGGGCTCTCGGTGGGCATGGCAGTCTATGGCATTGACACTCACATCAATTGTGACCCCTTTCCACCTTCTTTTCTGACCTCATCTTATGCCAGACTCTCAAACTTCGTTTCTCTGTAGCCACAGTAAATTTCTTTACATTTCATGAACACTGTGAACTCATTCTGCACTAAGAACTTTTGTATTTCCTTTTTTTTAAAATTTTTACTGAGACAGAGTCTCACTCTGTTGCCCAGGCTGGAGTAGAGTGGCGCAATCTCGTCTCACTATAACCTCCACCTCCTGGGTTCAAACGATTCTCCCACCTCAGCCTCCCAAGTAGCTGTGATTACAGGCACATGCCACCACGCCCAGCTAATTTTTGTATTTTTAGTAGAGGCAGGGTTTCACCATGTTGGCCAGGCTGATGTCAAACTCCTGACCTCAAGTGATCCACCTGCCTCGGCCTCCCAAATTGCTGGGATTACAGGCGTGAGCCACTGCGCCAGGCCAAACATTTGTATTTTCTATTCTCTCGCTGCATAGAACATTCTCCCATCTGTTTGATTATTTGCTTCTTTGGGTTATTGACTCACAGCTTAAATGTCATCTTCTTCAACCTTCCCCATCTACTCTGTTTGTGGTAGCGCTAATGGTCAATTACTGGGATTTTGCCCTGGTTTTTGTCACCATAACCCAAGTCACCGTCTGAGATTTTTTTTGTTTTGTTTTGTTTTGTTTTTTGTTTTTTTTTTTTGAGACAGAGTCTCGCTCTGTCGCCCAGGCTGGAGTGCAGTGGCGCAATCTCGGCTCACTGCAAGCTCCGCCTCCTGGGTTCACGCCATTCTCCTGCCTCAGCCTCCTGAGTAGCTGGGACTACAGGCGCCCACCACCGCGCCCGGCTAATTTTTTGTATTTTTAGTAGAAACGGGGTTTCACCGTGGTCTCGATCTCCTGACCTTGTGATCCGCCTGCCTCAGCCTCCCAAAGTGCTGGGATTATAGGCGTGAGCCACCGCGCCCGGCGAGATTGTTTAATTCATTGTTCTTGGGTCTCCCCCTCACATACATGAACCTCATGAGATCAAAGGTCTTGTCTGCCTTCTTCACCACCTGTGTCCCTTGTGCCTAGCATGGGGTCTGGCATATAACAGATTCTCAGTATTCATGGAAGCGATGGATGGATGGTTAGATGGAGAGAACATTCTTGGTAGAGGGAAGAAACAGGAAACCTCCTGTCTTTTCCAGAACAGTTAATATTAGATTGAGCCATATTAAACTGCTGATGTTTTACTGTTTTTCATCTAGGAATATCAGTTTCATAACGTTAATAGTCTGATACTGCTGGAACGCAGGGCATGGGCAGGAGGAGAAGCTTAAGGTAGAAGCAGAGGTATTTCACAGACAGCTTTGCTTTCATACCAAATTATTGCCTTTGTGACTGGTAGCCACAAGACAGTCTTTGAGCTGGGAAATAACATTTTCATATTTGTGATTTAGGAAGATCACTTTGCTTGTGGAGGATGGACTGTAGGGGAATGAAGCTTAGTTAGGAGAGCAAGGCAGTGGCGTGGGAGAGAAGTGATGAGGTAGGTAAGTGAGGCCGAGCAGTGGGGAGGAGGAGGGGCTGGGTTAGGGGGCTGCTGGGGCACAGAGTCCAAGGGCCGTCAGGGACTGGGTGCAGGAGGGACAGCTCCTCATTTCGGGCTCGCTGTGCCAGTGTTCTGCGTCTGCCCCATGCAGAGCTCAGCAGGGGTAGGAAAAACACAGTCCCTGACCTGAGGCACTAAGGCAGAACAGCCAAGTCCATGAGAGAGAGAAACAACCAGTCCTTAGGTTTTCATAACCCCTGAAAGTTTCAGAGTGCTTTTATGCTCCTATTTTTTTGGAGGAGGAAATAAGCGCAGAGTCTTGGGCAAGATCGGACAAATGGTATGCTTAGAACTCCAACATGAATCGATTCTCAAAACATTTCCTTAATGAAAGTGCACTGTAAACAAAAAATGTTTTGCCGTATTATTCAGTGTTTCTAAGAGTAAGAAGTATGTATTAGTATTGTCTAAATTTCAACCAAATATGTAGTTTAAATGTGAACCTGGAAATATTTTTCTATCCAAAAATCACTTTCATATAACTTTCTTGTGTTTTTGCAATTTAGCAACTGTAAACTATTGCTCAGTGAGAATCACTCAACAGTAAAAGTTTGTTCCAGTTACGAAGTGGACACAAAGTTACTTTCTTTGATACATTTACCTGTTAAAGAGTCTCATGATTATTATTCATTGGGTGACATTGTTGCAAATGGACACAGTCTTAATGGGAGGATTATTAACGTGCTGGCAGCTGTGAAGTCGGTAAGTTAAAACCCCAACAAAGCCAAGTGCAATTTGTCAGGGGTGTTGCGGTCACTTGATTTGTGTTTGGGATGGAGTGGTCATGATCAGCTGGGGTAACTTGTCTTCTGTATCTTGGTAGTATGTTGAATTAAGAAAACAGTAACACCTCTCATTAAAGGGAAAGTAGCATTTTATCTGTGGATGAGTAGTAAAATAAAATTGTATTTCAATGCAAAATGCAGTGTTCCACTCTGCTCATAAATGATCTGCTAACTATAGGACAGCCTTTTATACTTTGCTTAAACAAAGATGAAAATGAAAAGGGTAAGCTTATTGACTCGAAAATCTCCACGATCTTCCTTGAAGGGGCATAGTTGAGTAAGTTAAGGGATTGGTTCTGTGCCTTTGTGCTCAGAGCTGCCCAGAAACCGGGGAGGGAGTGGGAATACACGTTGCCCTGCCATAGGGGCTCCGTGGTCTAATAGGTGGAGTGGGACTGTGCTGGTGAAGTGCAGGGGAGGATGGCACTCCGTGGGGCACCACAGGGGTGTTCCCTTCTGGTGCATCAGCATCTGTCTGAATTATTGTAGCAAGTTCTGAGCTCTGTAGTTGGACAGACCAGAGCCATAAGGCAGAGATTGACATACAGGCCTCAATGGTAAAGTTTCACAAAATAAAGTACATGAAAATTAGTCGAGGCACAGTGGCTCACACCTGTGATCCTAGCACTTTGGGAGACCAAGGCAGATGGATCACTTGAGCCCAGGAGTTCAAGACCAGCCTGGGCAACCTCCGTCTCTAAAAAAATACAGAAATTAGGTGGGTGTGATGGCATGTACCTGTATTCTCAGCTGCTTGGGAGGCTGAAGGGGGAAGATCACCTGAGCCTGGGAGGTTGAGGTTGCAGTGAGCCAAAATCATGCCACTGCACTCCAGCCTGGGCAATCGAGGGAGACCCTGTCTCAAAAAAAAAAAAAAAAAAAAAAAAAAAAGTCTGGCACAGTGGCTCATGCCTGTAATCCTAGCACTTTGGGAGACTGAGGCGGGTGGATCACAAGGTCAGGAGTTCGAGACCAGCCTGGCCAATATGGTGAAACACCATCGCCACTAAAAATACAAAAATTAAGTCCCAGCTACTCTGGAGGCTGAGGCAGGAGAATGGCATGAACCTGGGAGGCGGAGCTTGCAGTGAGCCAAGATCATGCCACTGCACTCCAGCCTGGGCAGCACAGAGAGACTCCATCTCAAAAAAAAAAAAAAATTAGCTGGGTGTGGTGGCAGGTGCCTGCAATCCCAGCTACTTGGGAGGCTGAGTCAGGAGAATCACTTGAACCTGGAAGGTGGAGGTTGCAGTGAGCCGAGATTGTGCCACTGCCCTCCAGCCTGGGTGACAGAGTGAGACTCCGTCTCAAAAAAAAAAAAAAAGAAATTAGCTGGGCATGGTGGCAGGTACCTGTAGTCCAGCTACTTGGGAGGCTGAGGCAGGAGAATTACTTGAACCCAGGAGGCAGAGGTTGCAATGAGCTGAGATGGCACCACTGCACTCCAGCCTGGATTACAGAGCGAGATTCTGGGTCGATAAATAAAAAGGGGCAAGAATAATCTTTTAATATACAGAGGGATGATAGTCAAGAGACAAAAACAACAACAACCACAAAAACCACTCACGCTTATGATAGTTCATGTAAGTAAACGTGAATTGCTTGTCATATTAAATGGTGACTGACTGAGAGAATGTGACCCTCTCAGTTGGCAGGGCCTCGGCTGTGGAGGCCATGCCTGCCGCCTGGGGAGCATCTGTATACTTTAGGGAGAAGGAATAAGCCTGTTATATGATTATCTTGAAAAACAGGAGAGGTCACTTTGTAGGCAGTTTATGTTCAGTCCTATTCAGTTGTTCAAATGAGGGCTCAATTGTTTGCGATTTCCCCAAGTTCTAGACAGTGCTATTACATTTATAATGAAGTAGGAATTGTCTACAACCCTGAGTGAATACAGTAGGGTAAGCAGGAAACTGGCAGCTTTCCCACACCCTCAGTGAGTCTGGCACCTTTCATGTGTCACGTCACTTCGTCTCATGCCTTTTGTCTCCACTTTGGCTTTCAGCCCTCTTACATTTCCTTTTCTTCACACTTTTTTTTTTTTTTTTTTGGCGGGGGGAAGGAGTCTCGCTCTGTCACCCAGGCTGGAGTGCAGTGGCATGATCTTGGCTCATTGCAACCTCTGCCTCCCGGGTTCAAGCAATTCTTCTGCCTCAGCCTCTCGAGTGGCCAGGACTAAAGGCATGCACCACAACGCCTGGCTAATTTTTGTATTTTTAGTAGGGACAGGGTTTCACCATAGTGGTCAGGCTAGTCTCAAACTCCTGACCTTGTGATCCACCCACCTCGGCCCCCCAAAGTGCTGGGATTACAGGCATGAGCCACCGTACCTGGCCACTCTTCACACTTTCATTTAACCTGTTGTTTCTTCCTCTCATCTCCACTGTTGTTTCACTTTAAAACTCCTTTTTATACAGTGTTCTTCATCTCCCCAACCCCAGATGTTAGGCTGACCTCTCAGCCTCTGGCTGTCCTTTCTAGGTCCCTTTCTCTGGGCACCACAGATGCAGTGGTGGCAGTGGTGGGGGGTGGCCAGTGACTGTCCATGCTGGACCTGCTGCTGTGCAGCTCTCAGAGGCGCCTGCCGTTCCCACATGAGAAGCTACCAGGTGGAGAGAAGGGTCCTAGGTTCAACTCTTTTTTTTTTTTTTTTTACTTGCTTTAATGGGCGAGAACATCTCCACTTCTTTGATCATCTCACCCCACAATGGACAGAATTGGAACGTGTCAAAGTTTCCTGTGTATCCCGCATGTGGCTCTTACCACGGTAGTTCTGGGGAGAAGGCAGAGGACGTATCCTTTGTTTGTTTGTTTCCTGTGGACACTTTTTATACCACAGATATGCTATATTTGATGTTTGCTAAGAAGATGGAGATGCTGACCCCGGAAAGGCTGAGTCCATTCAGTCACATGAACTCATGCTGGGTTCCACACTGAGCCATGGGGACACACACGTGCTGGAAACACACTCCCTGCCCTCGAGGAGTCCACGTAGATGCCCCAGGGGGCCTGTCATGGAGCCTTGTTGTGACATGTTATAAAGACTTTCAGGGCTGGGCGCGGTGGCTCAAGCCTGTAATCCCAGCACTTTGGGAGGCTGAGATGGGCGGATCACGAGGTCAGGAGATCAAGACCATCCTGGCTAACACGGTGAAACCCCGTCTCTACTAAAAACACAAAAAATGAGTCGGGTGTGGTGGCGGGCGCCTGTAGTCCCAGCTACTCGGGAGGCTGAGGCAGGAGAATGGCGTGAACCCGGGAGGCGGAGCTTGCAGTGAGCTGAGATCCGGCCACTGCACTCCAGCCTGGGCGACAGAGTGAGACTCCGTCTCAAAAAAAAAAAAAAAAAAAAAAAAAAAAAATACTTAAATACTTCTACGTACAGGTGAAGAGTAATGATTTCTTTCCATTTCTAAGGTTGGAGAGCCAAAATACTTTACAACTTCAGACCGGAGAAAAGGCCAGAGGTGTGAAGTTAGACTCTATGATGAAACAGAGTCTTCTTTTGCAATGACATGGTAACCACCAACGTCTGTTCCAAATTGTGAAATCCCTGTTGTTATCACCAGGATATTTTCATTTTATCAAAAATATGATGGACTTCATATCGAGAGGATAATGATAGGAGATGAATGATATTTTAAAAAATAAACCTCACTCTTGAATGTTGAGTTGTTATAGACACCCCCTTAAAATGAGGTCTTTAGATGGCATGAAACTTGCTTAGGAGGACTCCACTGTGACCAGTTTTATTGTTGAATTCTGTTTTATAACAAATGGTGGTTTACTAGGTCCCATGGAACAAGCCAGACTTTCCCTCTGTGCTTCCTGGAAAGTATCCTGGAGCAGGGCAGGGCACAGGGCACTGCCAGGTACAACAAGGCATTGTCTAGACCTCTGATGCCTGGGTACCAAAGGAAATGATTTGAAAAATGCTTTCAACCCATCTGAACCTTGATATCCACTGGGGGACACTTCAGGGTCTGAAAGTGTGACTTTAAAGTTTTTAGGCTTTAGTTCTAACTAGCCTGGAGTGATTGTTAGAAAAATAAAGAATTGGCAGAGCAGAGTATTACTAGAGCAGAGTGTGTGTTGAAGGAATGTTCGCTCATGGAGATATTAAATTCTCCCTGGGAGGAAGCTGGTATCCTTAAGACCAGGAGGTCTTTGACCACTTTGGGGATGGCTGACCCCAGCCACTGAAGCTTTCTTTTATTGTTGTAAATAATGTGTCACTATCAGTTTTTTCTAGTGTATTCAATTTGTATTACTTCTTTTTAAACAATGCAGTTGGGATAATGAATCCATTCTACTTGCACAGAGCTGGATGCCACGAGAAACAGGTATCATCATTAAATGATTATGTCCAATATTTGTAATTTTATATCCCCCCATGTAATAATTGTAAATGGCTTTTTTCCCAAACAGTAATATTTGTCTCAGATGTAAGAATAAGTTTTGACAAATTTCGGAACTGCATGACAGCAACTGTAATCTCAAAAACCATTATTACAACTAATCCAGGTAAAAAAACTTTGTGAAATTTTTTATCCCTTTGGAAATGACTGAACACATTTCAATATTTGTACAGTATATTTAAGAATGAAAATTCAGCCTGGATTTAATTCAAATTAGAAGTAAAAATTACTTTATATAACTTTTAAAAAAACTTACAATGAACTTTGATATCTTTACTAAAGAAATGTGAGGCTGGATGTGGTGGCTCATGCCTGTAATCCCAGCTCTTTGGGAGGTTGAGAAGGGTGGATCACCTGAGGTCAGGAGTTCGAGACCATTCTGGTCAACATGGTGAAACCCAGTCTCTACTAAAAATATAAAAATTAGCTGAGCTTGGTGGTGGACACCTGTAATCCCAGCTATTCAGGAGGCTGAGGCAGGAGAATAGCTTGAACCCAGGAAGCGGAAGTTGCAGTGAGCTGAAATCGTGCCATTGTATTCTAGCCTGGGCCACAAGAGCAAGACTCTGTCTTAAAAAAAAAAAAAAACAGGCCGGGCGCAGTGGCTCAAGCCTGTAATCCCAGCACTTTGGGAGGCCGAGACGGGCGGATCATGAGGTCAGGAGATCGAGACCATCCTGGCTAACACGGTGAAACCCCGTCTCTACTAAAAAATACAAAAAAATTAGCCGGGCGAGGTGGTGGGCGCCTGTAGTCCCAGCTACTCGGGAGGCTGAGGCAGGAGAATGGCGTAAACCCGGGAGGCAGAGCTTGCAGTGAGCTGAGATCCGGCCACTGCACTCCAGCCTGGGCGACAGAGCGAGACTCCGTCTCAAAAAAAAAAAAAAAAAAAAACAACAACAGAAAAGGCTGGCGCGGTGGCTCATGACTGTAATCCTGGCACTTTGGGAGGCCAAGGTGGGCCGATCACGAGGTCAAGAGATTGAGACCATCCTGGCCAACATGGTGAAACCCTGTCTCTACTAAAAATATAAAAATTAGGTGGGCGTGGTGGCACGTGCCTGTAGTCCCAGCTACTCGGGAAGCTGAGGCGGGAGAATCACTTCAACCTGGGAGGCGGAGATTACAGTGAGCTGAGATGGTGCCACGGCACTCCAGCCTGGCGACAGAGCGAGACTCTGTCTCAAAAAATAAAAGTGAAAAACCAGATTAAATTTTAAAGTATAATTCATTGTGATGATCTTTGAGAGATCAGTTTTGTTGCTCAGATGCTAAATTATTGATTAATAGGTAAATTCAGTTTTGCTACATTCAAATAACTTTTACTGCTAGGACATTGATAACACACATGCACACATGTGCACACACACACAGTACTCTCTGTATAGTATCATTAGCTCATAACTGCACATTAAATGCCCAGATGATCCCCTGGAGTTATTGTTAAAGGAGTTACAGTTTACTACAGCATGAAATCAAGGGAGCCAGACTGGGGAGATGAGGCGTTAGTGCCTGTGAGCATTCCCAGGGTGCTTTATAGTGCAGACGTAACCATCAACCCAGAACTGCCAAAGAAATGGAGTAATGAATCTTTCGCCATCTCAGGAAGCTGTGAGTAGAGTACGTAGTGTATCATTTAAAACATAAGCTCCCTCTGCTGGTCTGTGACAAAGCATCAGCAGTGACAGAATTATAAAGCAATGTGTGCTTTTGACCAAACCATTATCAGCATTTTTAAAAGATAGAATTACTATGAGGAATGGTGTCAAATAATGAGACTCTGGTTTTTATATGAGTACTCTGAACCTTGCACATCCAACACATGGAGGTTGTCTCCTTGAAGGCAGCACCATGGGAGATGATGTACATGTCCCAAATTGCTCTTCACTGAACTCATTTACTGAGCACGTGCTGTGTGCTGGGTGCTGTTCTGGGGTGCAATGACAAAATGGACAAATATTTCTACCCTCATGGAGTTTACACTCCAGCAGGGAGAGACAGAGAATAAATAATGAAGATAATATGTCCATGAATTATGAAATATTTAAGGAGAACAGGTGGAACACAGTCAGGAGGACCTAGAGAGCCACAGCATGTGTGATTTTCCACAAGGCACGCTGCATGGGAGAGTGACGTTTGAGCAAAGACTTGATGTGGAAGCTAAAGGGTTAACGAAGGGAAACACCGAGGGGCTGGTGTGGCTGGAGCCCAGGAGTTCAAGGCCAGCAGGAGCTGTTCTGAGAAGAGATGGGGCACCCATGAAGAAGGCCTCGGAGGCTGTTAGAGTATGCTGGCTTCTACTCTGGATGGAGTAGCAGGTTGGGGTTTGGAGCAGAGAAGTGACAGCATCTGACTCAGCTCTGAGAGGTTTGCTCTGACTGCTTTGTTGGAAATTGATGGTGACACACGATAGTCTATTATTAACACTTAGGACAATAGTGGGACACTCTTCAATTTTTTCTTTCCTGGAGGGAGGTACTATGTATGGTTTATTTATTTTTATTTTATTTATTTATTTATTTATTTTTTGAGACGGAGTCTCACTCTGTCGCCCAGGCTGGAGTGCAGTGGCGCGATCTCGGCTGACTGCAAGCTCCGCCTCCTGGGTTCACGCCATTCTCCTGCCTCAGCCTCCTGAGTAGCCGGGACTACAGGTGCCCGCCACCACGCCTGGCTAATTTTTTGTATTTTTAGTAGAGATGGGGTTTCACCATGTTAGCTAGGATGGTCTCAATCTCCTGACCTTGTGATCCACCCGCCTCAGCCTCCCAAAGTGCTGGGATTACAGGCGTGAGCCTCTGCACCCTGGATTTGCTATTAGAAATAACTTATTAATAAAAATAGTTTATTATATATATTAAAAAATATATATATATATTTTAAATGAAATGGAGTCTCGCTCTGTCCCCCCGGCTGGAGGGCGGTGGCACAGTCTTGGCTCACTGTAGCCTCCACCTGGGTTCAAGCGATTCTCCTTTTCCAGCCTCCCGGGTTGCCCAGGTGCCTGCTACCATGCCCGGCTAATTTTTTATGTTTTTAGTAGAGACAGGGTTTCACCATGTTGGCCAGGCTGGCCTTGAACTCCTGGACTCCAGTGATCCACCTGCCTTGGCCTCCCAAAGTGCTGGGATTACAGGCACGAGCCACCACGTCCGACCTATTACTCTTACATTTAGTAATACCAGTGATAGTAAAATCTTCATCCTCTAAGGGTAAATTTGAGCTGGAAAAGTTTCTAAAAGACAGATTTGTCTGATGGAAAAGATGATCAACCTTGACTGTACCATGATATAAAAAACTCAAGATCTAATTGATGAGACAGGTATTTTAGGATGTTGTGCATTTGGCTCTGATTACAGATTCAAAGAAAAAAAAGTCACAGTATTTTGAGCAGTAACCAACATCATTAGAAAAAATGCCTTCTTAAGGAGATACATTTTTAAAATTTATTTATTGGTTAACTTTTTAATTGACAAAAAATTGAATACACTTATTTTATTTATTTATTTATTTTTTATTTATTTTTATTTATTTATTTATTTATTTTGAGACGGAGTCTCGCACTGTCGCCCAGGCTGGAGTGCAGTGGACAGATCTCAGCTCACTGCAAGCTCCGCCTCCCGGGTTCCCACCATTCTCCTGCCTCAGCCTCCCGAGTAGCTGGGACCACAGGCGCCGCCACCTCGCCCGGCTAATTTTTTGTGTGTGTTTTTTTTTTTAGTAGAGACGGGGTTTAGCCGTGTTAGCCAGGATGGTCTCGATCTCCTGACCTTGTGATCCGCCCGTCTCAGCCTCCCAAAGTGCTGGGATTACAGGCTTGAGCCACCGCGCCCGGCCGAATACACTTATTTTATACAATATGTTGTTTTGAAATATGTATACATTGCAGAATGGCTAAATCAAGCTAATTAACATATGCACTAATTCACATACTTTTTTTTTTGTGGTGAGAACACTTAAAATCTGTTCTTTTAGTACTTTTCAAGAATGTAGGCCGGGCACGGTGGCTCAAGCCTGTAATCCCAGCACTTTGGGAGGCCGAGACGGGCGGATCACGAGGTCAGGAGATCGAGACCATCCTGGCTAACACGGTGAAACCCCGTCTCTACTAAAAAAAATACAAAAAGCTAGCCGGGCGCGGTAGCGGGCGCCTGTAGTCCCAACTACTCGGGAGGCTGAGGCAGGAGAATGGCGTGAACCCGGGAGGCGGAGCTTGCAGTGAGCTGAGATCCGGCCACTGCACTCCAGCCTGGGCGGCAGAGCGAGACTCCGTCTCAAAAAAAAAAAAAAAAAAAGAATGTAATATGGGCCGGGCGCGGTGGCTCAAGCCTGTAATCCCAGCACTTTGGGAGGCCGAGACGGGCGGATCACGAGGTAAGGAGATCGAGACCATCCTGGCTAACACGGTGAAACCCCGTCTCTATTAAAAAATACAAAAAACTAGCCGGGCGAAGTGGCGGGCGCCTGTAGTCCCAGCTACTTGGGAGGCTGAGGCAGGAGAATGGCGTGAACCCGGGAGGCGGAGCTTGCAGTGAGCTGAGATCCGGCCACTGCACTCCAGCCTGGGCGACAGAGCATGACTCCGTCTCAAAAAAAAAAAAAAAAAAAAAGAATGTAATATGTTATTAACCATAGCTACCATGTTGTGCAGCAGATCTAGATTTCTTGGATTTATTCTGTCAAGGAAACAAATTTAAAGGAGAATACTCGCAAGGATGCATGAATTTGTGTGCTTGTTTATATAAGCTTTACTTTTTTTAAAATTTTACTTTAAGTTCTGGGATCCATGTGCAGAACATGCAGGTTTGTTACATAGGTCTACATGTGCCATGGTGGTTTGCTGCACCCATCAACCTGTCATCTAGGTTTTCGTTTTTTTTGTTTGAGATGGAATCTCACTCTGTCACCGGGCTGGAGTGGAAAGGTGTGATCTTGGCTCACTGCAACCTCTGCCTCCTGGGTTCAGGTGCTTCCCCTGCCTGAGCCTCCTGAGTGGCTGGAACTACATGCGTGTGTCACCATGCCTGGCTCATTTTTTGTATTTTAGTAGAGATGGAGTTTCACTATGTTGCCCAGGATGGTCTTGATCTCCTGACCTTGTGATCTGCCCGCCTCGGCCTCCCAAAGTGCTGGGATTATAGGCATGAACCACCACACCCAGCCCGTCATCTAGGTTTTAAGCCCTGCATGCATTTGCTATTTGTGCTGATGCTGTCCCTCCCCTCACCCCCCATTCCCCAACAGGCCCCAGTGTGTGTTGTTCCCCTCCCTGTGTCCTTGTTATCTCATTGTTCAGCTCCCACTTATGAGTGAGAACATGTGGTGTTTGGTTTTCTGTTCCTGTGTTAGTTTGCTGAGAATGATAGTTTTCAGCTTTATCCATGTCTCTGCAAAGGATATGATCTCATTCCTTTTTATGGTTGCATTGTATTCCATGGTGTATATGTACCACATTTTCTTTATCCAGTCTACCATTGATGGGCGTTGGAGCTGGTTCCATGTCTTTGCTATTGTAAATAGTTATATCAGTTTTACTTTTAATTTCCTGGGCTACACCTGCCTTATAGAAATTAAGAAGCCCTAAATGGCTTGTGTTCATCCTCACTAGGATGTCAAGATTCCCTTGTTTCTTTCTCTGCCCTGAGGGTGCTTATCAGATAGGGAGGGCACAATTCCTGCCTGTCTCTGACAGGATAACCTTATTGTCAGTGAGAACCTGCAGTGCTGGTACCCACCCATCCCTGCCAGCCCCCATCACAGGAAGCTCGTTGGCTGGATTTCTGTGGTCTCGCTCCAGCAGATGCTCCCATCTGAAGCACAGCAATTCATGGTGCACATCTCTCCAAGTTAATAGAGTTCTACATTCATTCATTCGCCCATGACCTTATCAATATTCTTGAATGCCTTTTACTTGCCAAGAATTGAGATAATATAAATTTCTGGAACAAGGAAGGAGATGAGTGGCTGGTCAGATGGATGTGAGGACAGTCATCCCGTGGGACACCGCGTGCCAGCTAGGATTTGACAACCTAGTTCTGAGAAGGAACAGGTAGAAGACTTGTATTCTGGGAGCAAGGAGGAAGAAACGCCCACATCTTCCCAGGGGAGTTAGGAAAGTACAGACATTGTCAGGACAATTTGTAGAATATTCAGAGGGTCCTGGGGTAATTAACAATCACGTGCCAGAGGCTGGGCCTGGGGTCTAAGGGCATCATGGGGGAGCTCTTTCCAAACACGTTCCTGCCTTCTGGCACAGCACCCCCGAGCCTTGCACACTCATGTCCCAACGTGGGGAGCAAGGCTTTTTATAGCGCCTGTTTTATATATTTCAATTGCCTTTTGAAAATCTTTTTTTTTTGGCCGGGCGCAGTGGCTTACACCTGTAATCCCAGCACTTTGGGAGGCCGAGACGGGCGGATCACGAGGTCAGGGATCGAGACCATCCTGGCTAACCTGGTGAAACCCCGTCTCTACTAAAAAAAAAAATACAAAAAATTAGCCGGGCGCGGTTGTGGGCGCCTGTAGTCCCAGCTACTCGGGAGGCTGAGGCAGGAGAATGGCGGGAACCCGGGAGGCGGAGCTTGCAGTGAGCCGAGATCGCGCCACTGCACTGCAGCCAGGGGGACAGAGCGAGACTCCGTCTCAAAAAAAAAAAAAAAAGAAAAAAGAAAACCTTTTTTTTCTGAGTAAAGAAATACATATAAAATTCAGAAAAAATATATAAAAACATAAACAGGGAAAACAAAGATCACCTACAATCCCACTGTCTAGAGAGAATCATTTTTTCATATATATTCTTCCAGATAATTTTGCATTTATATATGTAGTTTTTCTTTGTTTGTTTTTGTTTTTGTTTTTTAGACGGAGTCTTGCTCTGTTTCCCAGGCTGGAGTGCAGTGGCGCTATCTCTGCTCACTGCAAGCTCCATCTCCTGGGTTCGTGCCATTCTCCTGCCTCAGCCTCCCAACTAGCTGGGACTACAGGTGCCCGCCACCACGCCTGGCTAATGTTTTTGTATTTTTAGTAGAGACGGGGTTTCACCGTGTTAGCCAGGATGGTCTCCATCTCCTGACCTCATGATCCGCCTGCCTTGGCCTCCCAAAGTGCTGGGATTACAGGTGTGAGCCACTGCGCCAGGCCCCTTACATATGTAGATTTTTTAATTAAAAGGGTATTGAACCACACAAGTTATAACGTAAGCTGCTCTTTTCACTAACATCTGTTTTAGATGTAATGTGGTGTATATCTCTCCATGTTAACAGAATTCTATATCAGATTATTAATGGCCACATAATATTCTATTTGATTGTATTCTTACATGTCTTCACTTTTTACTATTAAAATGATTTTGGATGATTTAAATGTGATTTAAAAGTTAATCCGTTTACTTTTCACTTACTATGCATTTTCAATTTAAGAGACGCCAGAAGCTAACATTCTACTGAATTTTATACGAGAAAATAAAGAAACAAATGTTCTGGATGACGAAATTGAAAGTTATTTCAAAGAATCCATAAATTGTAAGTGACCCTTTAAATATATTTGGATTTTTTTTAAAGGCTGAAATTGGGCCTGTAAAGATTTGACATGGTAAAAGACCAGATTCCTATTCTGTAACTACTATATTTCAACTTTTCTTTCTTTTTTTTTTTTTTTTTTTTTGAGACGAAGTCTCACTCTGTCACCCAGGCTGGAGTACAGTGGCGTGATCTCGGCTCACTGCAACCTCCGCCTCCCGGGATCAAGCAATTCTTCTGCCTCAGCCTCCGCAGTAGCTGGGACTACAGGCTTTTATGCCACCACACCCTGCTAATTTTTTTTTTTTTTTTTGAGACGGAGTCTCGCTCTGCCGCCCAGGCTGGAGTGCAGTGGCTGGATCTCAGCTCACTGCAAGCTCCGCCTCCTGGGTTTACGCCATTCTCCTGGCTCAGCCTCCCAAGTAGCTGGGACTACAGGCGACCGCCACCACGCCCGGCTAGTTTTTTGTGTTTTTTTTTTTAGTAGAGATGGGGTTTCACTGGGTTAGCCAGGATGGTCTCGATCCCTGACCTCGTGATCCGCCCGTCTCGGCCTCCCAAAGTGCTGGGATTATAGGCTTGAGCCACCGCGCCCGGCCGCTAATTTTTTTTTTTTTGAGACGAACTCTCACTCTGTTGCCTAGCCTGGAGTGCAGTGGTGCGATCTTGGCTCATTGCAAGCTCTGCCTCCCAGGTTCACGCCGTTCTCCTGCCTCAGCCTCCCGAGTAACTGGGACTACAGGGGCCCACCACCATGCCCGGCTAATTTCTTTGTATTTTTTAGTAGAGACGGACTTTCACCATGTTAGCCAGGATGGTCTTGATCTCCTGACGTTGTGATCTGCCTGCCTCAGCCTCCCAGAGTGCTGGTATTACAGGCATGAGCCACCGTGCCCGACCTTTTTTGTATTTTTAGTCACCATATTGGTCAGGATGGTCTCGATCGCTTGACCTTGTGATCTACCTACCTTGGCCTCCCAAAGTGTTGGGATTACAGGCGTGAGCCACCGTGCCCGGCCTAATTTTTGTATTTTTTGTAGAGATGCGGTTTTACAGTGTTGCTCAGGCTGGTCTCAGACTGCTGGGCTCAAGTGATCCACTGGTCTCTGCCTCCCAAAGTGCTGGATTACAGGCATGAGCCACCATGCCCTCCTGAGCATCTTATATATTATATACCTTTTGCCTGTCTGATGGGAGCTTATGACCCTCTCCCCAGAGCAGTGCTTGTACCCATGTGTGGAATTTGCATAAACTGTCATGTTCCTGGACCCCAAATCCATGAAGCCTAGGTTGAGGCTCTTCTTTTAAAAGGATTCTGCTGGCCGGGTGCAGTGGCTCATTCCTGTAATCCCAACACTTTGGGAGGCCGAGGTGGGCAGATAGATCACTTGAGGTTAGGAGTTCAAGACCAGCCCAGTCAACATGGTGAAACGCCATCTCTACTAAAAATACAAAAATTAGCCTGGTGTGGTGGTATGTGCCTGTAGTCCCAGCTACCAGGGAGGCTGAGGCAGGAGGATCGCTTTGACCAGGGAGGCGGATGTTGTAATGAGTCGAGATCACGCCACTGCACTCCAGACTGGGCAACAGAGTGAGACTCTCTCCAAAAAAAAAAAAAAAAGAGAGAAAAAAGGGTTCTGCTTATTGCTATTGCTGGCTTATGCCAGACATGCATGCCGGAGGGACCAGGAGGAACAGAGGGAAGTTTTAGATCACTCCCTGAAGGCGTGTTCTGTAACATAGTCCTTAGTTACCGTAGATGATGCTTAATTCACCTGAAGAGAGTAACAATGGAATTTAGCATGAAATAATGTATTCTGCAAGCCACATCACGTTGTGTGGAAGAGGAACTTTGTTATTGCTTTTTGCAGAGGATATTTAATGTGTTTCGTATCAGTAGAGGTCACTGATAGAAAAAGGTACTACTGGATCAAGATCAAAATTTATCATCTTTTTGCCTACAAGAAGGGACAAGCCATAGGTGAGACTCCGTCTCTACAAAAATTTTTTTAAAAAATAGCTGGGCATGGTGGCATGTGCCTGTGATCTCAGCTACTCAGGAGGCAGAGATAGGAGGATTGCTTGAGCCCTGGAGATAGAGACTGCAGTGAGCTGTGTTCATGCCACTGCACTGCAGCCTGTGTGACAGAGCAAGACCGTGTCTCAAAAATAAATAAATAAATAAATAAAATAAAGCCATGATTGTTACTTTGGAAACATTTTTTTAAAATGTTGGGTCATTTGTAGATAATGCCATTTCAGGAAACTTGAGAGAGCACAGAGGCGTTCAGCGAGCTGTGAGGTAAACTTGATAAACTGTATTTCAGTCCCTGTCCTGCCATGCAACCCTAAAACGGGGACAGGAATGACAGTGTCTACAACCATTTTTAGGCTACTCAAGGGCAGCCTGATTTATTTGGGAATTTTTTTTTTTCTGATCAGGAGGTTATATTAAAGTAATCACAAAGTAGTTCCTTCTTTCTCTCTCTTTCTCTTTCTCTCGTTCGTTCTTTCTTTTGTCTTTCTTTATTTCTTTCTCCCTTCCTCCCCCTCCCCTCTTCTCTTCTCTTCTCTTTTCTTTTTTCGGGGTCTCAAACTCCTGACCTCAAGGAATCCTCCTGCCTCAGCCTCCTGAAGGATTACAGGTGTGAGCCACCTTGCTTGGCCCAAAAATAGGCTTTGTTTGTTTGTTTTTTGAGGAGTCTTGCTCTGTCACCCAGGCTGGAGTGCAGTGGTGTGAGCTCACTGCAACCTCTGCCTCCTGGGTTCAAGCAATTCTCCTGTCTTAGCCCCCCAAGTAGATGGGATTACAGGTGCACACCACCACACCTGGCTAATTTTTATATTTTTAGTAGACACGGGGTTTCACAATGTTGGGCAGGCTGGTCTTGAACTCCTGACCTCAGGTGATCTGCCCTCCTCAGCCTCCCACAGTGGTGGGATTACAGGCGTGAGCCACAGTGTCTGGCCCCAAAATAGCTTTTTTTCTTTTTTTGAGATGGAGTCTTGCTATGTCACCCAGGCTGGAGTGCAGTGGTGCAATCTCGGCTCACTGCAGCCTCTGCCTCCTGGGTTCCAGTGATTCTCCTGCCTCAGCCTCCTGGGTAGCTGGGATTACAGGTACACAACACCACGCCCTGCTAATTTTTGTATTTTTAGTAGAGATGGGGTTTCACCATGTTGGCCAGCTGGTCTCGAACTCCTGACTTCAGGTGATCCGCCTGACTAGTCCTCCCGAGGTGCTGGGATTACAGGCATGAACCACCAGCCCTGGCCTAAAAATAGTTTTTAAGCGTCCCTTTTATTTTACTGTGGGAACTTTGATAGTTAAATTTACTCAGATTTATAAAAGCAAAAACTAATTTTTTGTGTTCTTGGTAGAAACTGGGTTTCACCATGTTGTTCAGGCTGGTCTCAAACTCCTGAGCTCAAGCGATTTGCCCGCGTTGGCCTCCCAAAGTGCTGGGATAACAGGCGTGAGCCACCGTGCCTGGCCTTTTTTATCTTTTAAAATGCTCATTACTCCCATGAAAACCTTATAGGTAAAAATTGATTAAATATTTCAGCGTAAAACTATAATCATGTTTTCTTTAGAGCTTTTATATTTTTATTAAAAATTAAAATGCTCAAAATTTTAAAAGTAGGCCCGGCACAGTGGCTCACACCTGTAATCCCAGCACTTTGGGAGGCTGAGGTGGGTGGATCATTTGAGCCCAGGGGTTCATAAGACCAGCCTGGCCAACGTGGCAAAACCCCATCTGTACTAAAAACACAAAAATTAGCCGAGCATCACAGGATGTGCCTGTAATCCCAGCTACTCGGCAGGCTGAGGCAGGAGAATCTCTTGAACCTGGGAGGTGGAGGTTGCAGTGAGCTGAGATCCAGCCTGGGTGACAGAGTGAAGCTACACTCCAGCCTGGATGTCAGAGCGAGACTGTATCTCAAAAAATAAAAGAAACACAATACAGAATACTTGGCTGGGCGTGGTGGCTCACGCCTGTAATCCCAGCACTTTGGGAGACCGAGGTGGAGGGATCACTTGAGGTCAGGAATTTGAGACCAGCTTGGCCAACCTGGTGAAACCCTGTCTCTACTAAAAATACAGAAAATGAACCAGGCGTGGTGGGGGGCACCTATAATTCCAGCTACTCGGGAGGCTGAGGCAGGAGAATCGCTTGAACTCAGGAGGCGGAGGTTGCAGTGAGCTGAGATCACACCACTGCACTCCAGCCTGGGTGACACAGCGAGACTCCGTCTTAAAAAAAAAAGACACATAATACAGAATGCAAGCAACAGCCCCAAATAAACAGTTACTTGGTTAACATCTTTTAGTGTATCTTTTCGTGCATATATACTAATAGAAGGATAAAGACATAAAAATATAGATAAATAGATATACATTACCATCTTTTTATTGAAGAAAATTAAATTTCATGTACTAGACAGCAACAAAAGAAAAGAAACCAATGAAGTGCTGAAGGAACCAGATAACGTCTGATAAAAGTTTTCTAACCCGAATAATATTTGTTCATGGAAGATTCTTCTAAGATAAAGAAAAATAAAAATGAATTATTGGTTATTTTTAGTTTTGTAAAGTTTATTTTTGTTGTTGCTTTACATCCTCACTAATGTTTGTGTTATTAGTCTTTTAAATGTTAGGTGTTTAGTGGAATTCTCTTGTTTTTTTCTTTTTTTTTTGGTTGTTCGTTTGTTTTTGAGACGGAGTCTGGCTCTGTCACCCAGGCTGGACTGCAATGCCGCCATCTTGGCTGAGTGCAACCTCTGCCCCCGGGTTCAAGCGATTCTTCTTCCTCAGCCTCCCAAGTAGCTGGGATTACAGGCACACACTGATATGCCCAGCTAATTTTTTATTTTTAGTAGGGACAGAGTTTTGCTATGTTGGCCAGGCTGGTCTCGAACTCCTGACCTCAAGCGATCCACTAGTCTCAACTTCCCAAAGTGTTGGAATTACAGGTGTGAACCACCGCATCCAGCCTACTCTTGTTTAATTTGTATTTTCCTGATGATTATTGAGACCAGTACGTGTATTGGCCATTTTGATAACTTCTTTTGTGCTGTACTTTTATTTATTAATTATTTTATTTTATTTTATTTTATTTTTTGAGATGGAGTGTTGCTCTGTCGCCCAGGCTGGAGTGCAGTGGCACGATCTCGGCTTATTGCAAGCTCCGTCTCCCAGGTTCACACCATTCTTCTGCCTCAGCCTCCTGAGTAGCTGGAACTACAGGCACCCGCCACCACGCCCGGCTAATTCTTTGTATTTTTTAGTAAAGGTGGGATTTCACCATGTTAGCCAGTATGGTCTTGATCTCCTGACCTCATGATCCGCCCACCTCGGCCTCCCAAAGTGCTGGGATTACAGGTGGAGAGCCACTGCACCCGGCTGTGATGTACTTTTAAAAGTCACTTCCGCATTTAAAAAATTGAGTCACTGTCGCCAGGCACGGTGGCTCACACTTGTAATCCCAGCATGCCTGTAATCCCAGACAGTGCCACTGAACTCCAACCTGGGCAATGAACGAGACTCTGTCTCAAAAAAAAAAAAGAAAAAATTGAATAACTGTCTTTTTTTTTTTGGGAAGGAGTTTGTCTCTCATTGCCCAGGCTGGAGTGCAATGGCGCAATCTCGGCTCACCACAACCTCCGCCTCCCGGATTCAAGAGATTCGCCTGCCTCAGCCTCCTGAGTGGCTGGGATTACAGGCATGCACCACCATGCCCAGCTTTTTTTATTTTTAGTAGAGACAGGGTTTCTCCATGTTGGTCAGACTGCTTTTGAACTCCCAACCTCAGGTGATCCGCCCGCCTTGGTCTCCCAAAGTGCTGCGATTACAGGCGTGAGCCACTGTGCCCAGCCAAGTCACTTTCCTTTTCTAACTGATATTTAAGAATTCTTTAGACAATTCTGGATGAGTCCTTTATCTCATTGTAGACTGCTAGCATTTCCCACTCTGTGGCTTGCCTTTTTGCTTTTTTAATGGTGTCTTTTGATAAACAGAAATTCTTCATTTTAATGAAGACCAGTTTCATTTCCTTTTTTTCTTATGTTTTGCTTTTATGTCCATTTATAGAATCAGTGTTTATATACCCAACATAGTAATTTTTCTGTTACTTAAGCTACTGCATGTTCTCATTTGTCATAGCTTTCCATTCAGATGTAATCCTTTATTTTATAAGAATATATACAGACCGTAATACTTCTTTCTATTTTTAGTAAGTACAATAGTTGATGTCTATACAGTTGAACAATTAAAGGGAAAAGCTTTGAGGAATGAAGGAAAAGCTGATCCTTCCTATGGCATACTTTATGCCTACATTTCCACACTCAACATTGATGATGAAACTACAAAAGTAGTTCGAAACAGATGGTAAGGATCCATGTCTCTTTTAGCAAATTCATTTTTGTAAGAAATAATTATTGTTAATAAATTTTAAGCTCTCTAAAAGTTAAAGCTGTTTGTTGACATAATGGGGGTTATGTATTTGAGATAAATGTATAGAAAACTATACTGAAAAGTTTCCATAGGAAACTAGATTAAAATATTATAATTGCCTTTTAAAATATAATCTATATTTCTATAATTCTAACATATAAAGATATAATGTGAGAAACTTTTGACAAACTTGTCTAATGATTTGGCAGAAAACTATTTTGGTTGCTAGGCCCTACAGCAGTGTACTGACAGCATTAAAAAAAAATTATTTTCAAGCCAGGTGCAGTAGCATGCACCTGTAGTCTCAGCTACTCAGGAGGCTGAGGTGGGAGGATCGGTTGAGCCCAGGAGTTTGAAGAGTTTGAGTCCAGCCTGGGAAACATCCAACCTCTTGTAGATCAAAGTTAATATTTACTTGCATAGAAAGTAAACTCCAGGCCGGACATGGTGGCTCACGCCTGTAATCCCAGCACTATGGGAGGCCGAGGCAGGTGGACTACCTGAGGTCGGGAGTTCAAGACCAGCCTGGCCAATATGGTGAAACACCATCTTTACTAAAAACACACAAAAAATTAGCTGGGCATGGTGATGGACACCTATAATCCCAGCTACTTCGGAGGCTGAGGCATGAGAATTGCTCGAACCCAGGAGGTGGAGGTCATGGTGAGCCGAGATTGCACCATTGCACTCCAGCCTGGGTGACAAGAGCGAAACTCTGTCTCAAAAAAAAAAAAAAAAAAAAAAAGAAAGTAAACTCCAGTAGATTTAATACTCTTAGCTAAAAGATGCTTGGCAAGAAACGTGTAATATTATTAGGAAAGTCTATGGATTTTTATGAGAATTTTCATTGAGATAATCCTAGATTTGCATGGAAGTATAAGAAATAATAAGAGGGCCGGGCGTGGTGGCTCACATTTATAATCCCAGCACTTTGGGAGGCCGAAGAGGGCTGATCACGAGGTCGGGAGATTGAGCCCATCCTGGCTAACACAGTGAAACCTGGTCTGTAAAAAATACCAAAAAATTAGCCAGGCGTGGTGGCGGGCACCTGTAGCCTCAGCTACTTGAGAGGCTGAGGCAGGAGAATGGTATGAACCCGGGAGGCGGAGCTTGCAGCGAGCCGAGATTGCGCCACTGCACTCCAGCCTGGGAGACAGAGCGAGATTCCGCTTCACAAAAAAAAAAAAAAAAAAAAAGAAATAATAGGAGAGATCCCTTGTGGCTTCTGCCCCATTTCCCCCAGCGATACCATTTGCAAGTAATAGTACCATGTCACAGCCAGGATATTGACACCATTCAATCCACTGGTCTTACTCAAATTCCTCCAGGTTCACATGCAGTCGTGTGTGTGTGTTCTAATTAGTTTTATCACACTTGTAGGTTTGTGTATCTGTTGCCACAGTCAAGATACTGACCTCTGGATTTTTAAAACATTTTATGATGTATTAAAATTGAAAAAACTAATGTGGATGCTGTGTAAGACCTTGTGTTTGTTTTTTGAAAAACAGTTTTCAAAAATTGAAAAACTAATTTTTTCCCTGTATATTTATTATTGATATCTGAGGAAAAGCATCTACAATTTGCTGAACCAAGTGATCTGTGGCTAGACAAAAATCCACTGTCTTTAGTTCATTTCCCCTATTTGAGAAATTTGAATTAGGTTCCCTGTTCAAGATTGCTAAAGTAAGGCTTGCTTCAGAAATTTGGAATAGCATAAACCACTGGAAGAGAGGAGAGTGTATCACCAGCAGTGTTAATAGCGTCTGGTGCCACCTGGCCAGCCTTGCAAGGCTTTTTGTATTTGTAGAGAAGGCCCCGTGCAGGACCATCCAGTGAGCAGCTATTGAACGTGTGCTTTCCAGGCACAAGACACAGTTCCTGCCCTCAGAACTCCCAGCGGGGGAGGTGAGAACAAGGAGCTGATGCGACAGCATGAGTCAGTCCTGAGGCTTGCGTTCTGCTGCTGTTCCAAGAGGGAAAGGGTGCCGGCTGGGATGCAAGAATGGAGGGCACCAGCAGGGAAATGAGACTGGGAGGGACCTGGAGGGCTTGGCAGGAACTCGGCAGAGGGAGGGAAGAAGGGAGGGCAGGTGGAGGACTGGTGTACGCAGTTTCAGATGAATTCTGAGAATGGCTGCATAGAAAGTGTGTTTTACTGTTTTTTACGACTGTCTGGTACACTGCATAGCACTGAACACTCAGTAAGTTTTGCATACAGTGACGTAGAGTTTTTAGTGATAATTCTTTTTCTGCTAGAGATGAAATTTGTCACTTAGGGCATCATATTTTATCATTGTCTTTGTTTCTTTTCAGTTCCACCTGTGGTTATATAGTAAATGAAGCATCTAACATGTGCACAATTTGCAACAAAAACTCCTTGGACTTTAAATCTGTCTTTCTCAGTTTCGATATGCTGATTGATCTGACTGATCACACAGGCACCCTTCATTCCTGTAGTCTCACAGGAAGTGTTGCTGAGGAGACTTTGGGCTGCACGGTAAATAGCAAAAAGGAAGAAATGCTTAGAATATTTCCAAAGTGAATGCTTTTCCCCCAAAAATAGAGGTGGTTTTGTCAAACATTTGATAGAAATTAATTCACTAAGAAACAGTCTGGGAAAAAATCATCTTGCTTTAAACACACATTGCTTTCATGAACAAATGTTACATATATTAAAATCCTAGCTAATATTTACTATTATGAGTAATGACTGAGGCCATTAGCCTAAATGGATAAATAAACATGATGTTTTAGGGCTGGGTGCAGTGGCTCAGGCCTGTAATCTTAGTCCTTTGGGAGGCCGAGGAGGGCAGATCACTTGAGGTCAGGAGTTTGAGACCAGCCTGGCCAATATGGTGAAACCCCATTTCTACTAAAAGTACAAAAATTAGCTGAGTGTGGTGACGTGCACTTGTAATCCTAGCTATTCAGGAGGCTGGGGCACGAGAATCACTTGAACCCAGGATGTGGAAGTTGCAGTGAGCCAAGATCACGCCACTGCACTCCAGCCTGAGTTACAGAGTAAGACTTGTCTCAAAAAAAAAAAAAAAAAAAAAAAAAGAAACAACCGAGGAAACATGATGTTTGATATAGTCAAGTAACAAGGGGTAAAACAAGTTAGAGATGTTGATCAGTCATAAGGTGGTTTTTCTAGGAGGATTTGGCTGTGTTTCACCTACTCAGTTACATGAAATCAGCTACACATTTTCTCCCTGGTTTGCAGCTGCAGAACAGCAGCAGATAACACTTAGGGATTAGCATGTGCATTTGGCAATAGGCACTTGCTTTTTATTGTTAAAACCAGCTCATGAAATTTACCATTAGACTTTAGTTCCAAATTCTGCTTCCACTTTATTGAAGGGATTTTTCCTTACTGAGCTACCTGATTGCCTTTAGAGATTCTGCTTATCTAGCCTTTCCTGCCTTATCTTCTCTATCAAAACAATTGAGTTGGCTGGGCATAGTGGGTCACACCTGTAATCCTAGCACTTTGGGAGGCTGAGGCAGCAGGATCACTTGAGGTCAGGGGTTCAAGATCACCCTGGGCAACATAGTGAGACCCTGGGCAACATAGTGTCTGTACAAAAAATAAAACATAAAACAATTAGCCAGAGAATAATAGTGCATACCTGTAATTTCAGAAACTTGGGAAGCTGAGGTGGGAGGATTGCTTGACCCCGGGAGTTTGAGGCTTCAGTGAGCTGTGATCGCACTGCTGCACTCCAGCTTGGGCGACAGAGTGAGACCCTGTCTCTAAAAACAAAAACAAACGGTTGAGCTATAATTACTGCAAATTAAAATTTCATTCCTAATGAGAAAGTTTGTTTCTCACTGTTGTCAAAACGAATTTTCTTCGTAAACTTCAGATATATTTGTCTCATCTTTTTTTTTAACCAGGTAAATGAGTTTCTTGCAATGACAGATGAACAGAAAACAGCATTAAAGTGGCAATTTCTCTTGGAAAGAAGCAAAATTTATTTAAAAGTTAGTGCATTTTATAGTGCTATATTATTCTATATATTTATTATTCTATATATTCAAACCATAAGAAAAACCTAGATAAATTTGGGAAATTTATTATTTCTAATGCCCAGTTCCCAGATGTGCATAAGGACTCAGCTACCCTAAAAACAAAAGAAATAACCAGGGTTTTTTTCATATTGTATAAAGGAGTTACCAAAGACATCAAAGAAAATAGACCAACAAAGAAAATATCCTTTAAGGTTAAATCCAAAAGAGGGGAAAACGCTTTAAAATCAGAGCTGCCGGGTGCAAAAGTGCACACCTGTCATCCCAGCTACTTGGTAGACTGAGGTGGGAGGATCGCCTGAACCCAGGAGTTTGAGGCCAGCCTGGGCAACATAGTGAGACCCCTCTCTTGGCCCCTAAACCCCAAAAGGTCAGACTAGGTTGTCCCCACCCCCACCCCGCCATGGTGTTCTCTTCGCGTAACGAGCAGTGTGAAACAGCACAGTTAAGTGCGTGGTTATTGGGGAGACAGATTTGGTCTGAATCCTAATCCCGCCACACCTCAGCCTGTGAGACCCTACGGAGGTTAATTAAGTTTGCTAACCTGCAAAATTCCGTGATCCTCCAACTCTGAAGGGCCACAGCTGCCTCCTGAGGCACTTCAGTGTTGGAGGATCCTCGAGTCTTAGTGTTCAAGGTGTCAGAGGGGGAAAAGTGCAGCCAGACAAACTCCCCTGCTGCAGATGAGAAAAGTGGGACCAAGAAGTCTTGCCACGGCCGGGCGCGGTGGCTCACGCCTGTAATCCCAGCACTTTGGGAGGCCGAGGTGGGTGGATCACGAGGTCAGGAGATCGAGACCATGCTGGCTAACACGGTGAAACCCCGTCTCTACTGAAAATACAAAAAAATTAGCCGGGCTTGGTGGCGGGCATCTGTAGTCCCAGCTTCTAGGGAGGCTGAGGCAGGAGAATGGTGTTAACCCTGGAGGTGGTGGAGCTTGCAGTGAGTGGAGATCGCGCCACTGCACTCCAGCCTGGGCGACAGAGCGAGACTCTGTCTCAAAAAAAAAAAAAAAAAAAAAAAAAAAAAAGTCTTGCCACTTGCCGTGGGTCACAGGTAAGACTGGACCCAGCCAGCCTCGTTGCTTCACTTCATGGTTCTCAACTCTTTTCTCTTGTGTTGTCCTGCAAGTCAATGTGCTTCCGTTTGTGTGGGTTATATCTACTGATACTTGCTCTACTGGAGCTTAATACTGAAAAAAATTTAAAACATTCTAGAGCACACATTCCATTTGTGTCAGACTAACGGTATCATGAAGCCTCTAGAAAACATCGTGTACTGATGGGAGAATTAGTATTATTATGAAATTAGTTTTCATCTCATGGACGTCCTGCAGGAGCATTTGTGAATGCCGCATCTCCTCCATCTCAGCCTCATAAGCAGGTTTTCCCATTTTCCATGGCCACCAGCACATCCAAATAGTTTGCAGACATGGAGTCTGCAGTGGCCTCACCAATATTTCTAGGACCTTGGCTTAAGGCCTCTTCACTACCAGGCCAAAGGAAAGAAAAGTTGCAGTAAGATGCTGCATCTCTTCAATGGTTAGCATGGGCCCCTAAGTACTATCTCTTTGCAAGTCAGGGCACACTCAAGTCCTTGACCGACCCTGTATGCTTTGCCTCCAGACAGGAGGCACCACTTGCTAATGAGTCGGATCAACTTAAGTTCATGGGAACTTAAGAGTTTTCTAAATTTGATTCAAATACAACAATGAATGACCCTCAAGTGGATACTGCACTTTCCCAGAGAATGTGTGTAACAGATGTTCCAGGTGGCTTTAACAAATATTCACAATTATGGACAAGCTGCTTGGTGCGTTAGGTAACACAGTATTTTACAAATAAAAAGATGTAAAATCCAAAACCAAAATCCAAAAACCATGATGCATACAAAAATAAAATAACACATGTTGAAAACTCATTAATTAATGAGGGAACCAGTAAGATATAGGGAAAAGGATTCAAAGGGAATTGGTTCATGACTAGCCTGTCCAAGATGGTGAAACACTGTCTCTACTAAAACTATAAAAATTAGCCGGGCGTGGTGGCAGGTGCCTGTAATTCCAGCTAGTCAGGAGGCTGAGGCAGGAGAACCACTTGAACCTGGGAGGCGGAGGTTGCAGTGAGCTGAGATCTCACCACTGCACTCCAGCCTGGGTGACAGAGTAAAACTCTGTCTCAAAAATTAAAAAAAAAAAAAAGTAATTGGAAGAATAGATACATAGGCAGGCAATGCAAAATGCTGGATGGGTTTGCTTGTAGATGAACCACTGGGCTCCTCTACAGGGCAGAAGCAGTGCATCTTCACTCAGACTTCATGGGGATTCCATGAGCAGGGTCATTCGAATCACTGTCAGCTTTCTACAACCTAGTTCTAAAACAGCTCAGTCCGTGCAGTGGGAGGTGTAGCTCCTGTAGAATCAGATAGCTCTGAACGTGTTCTAGCCAATGCCAGACTACTATGACATTCCATCGAAAGGATACCCACTTATTGTTATTGCCCATTTAAAGCCTTCTACAGTTTTCCTGACGTTGGTACTTTTTTTTTCTCTCAGTCTTGAAATTAAAGTGGTTTATATGTCCTTCCACTCTATATTAAATAAAATGTTGGTTAAAGTGCTGTATAAATTGTAAAAAACAAGACTATTAAAATAAGACTATTATTAAATTATGTCATCATATTCCTGTAGTTTCACAGATTGAGTCCCTGCTACAGCTTAAAGTCTATCATTGGTAGTTTGAACACACAGTAAGCCCTTTTTCCTACGTTATACTTTTTTTTTGTTTGTTTTGAGACAGAGTCTCTCTCTGCTTGCTCTGTCACCCAGGCTGGAGCGCATGGTGCGATCACAGCTTACTGCAGTCTCAACTTTACCAGGCTCAAGTGATCCTCCCACCTCAGCCACCGAGTAGCTGGGACCACAGGTGTGCACCACCATGCCTGGCTAATTTTTATATTTTTAGTAGAGACAGGGTTTCACTTTGTTGGCCAGGCTGGTCTTGAACTTTTGGCCTCAAGTGATCTACCTGCCTTGGCCTCCCAAAGTGCTGGGATTACAGGTATGAGCCACCTCACCCAGCCCTGCATTAGACATTTTTTTGGGGGGCAGGGGGACAGAGTTTCGCTCTAGTTACCCAAGCTGGAGTGCAATGGTGCAATCTCTGCTCACTGCAACCTCTGCCTCCTGGGTTCAAGCGATTCTCCTGCCTTAGCCTCCTGAGTAGCTGGGATAACAGGTGTGCGCTACCATGCCCAGCTAATTTTTTGTATTTTTAGTAGAAATGGGAGTTTCACCATGTTAGCCAGTCTGGTCTCGAACTCCTGACCTCAGGTGATCCGCCTGCCTCGGTCTCCCAAAGTGCTGGGATTACAGGTGTGAGCCACTGCGCCCGGCCACACTAGACTCTTTTTTTGTTTTTTTTTTTTTTTTTTTTTTTTTTTTTGAGACGGAGTCTCGCTCTGTCCCCCTGGCTGGAGTGCAGTGGCGCGATCTCGGCTCACTGCAAGCTCCGCCTCCTGGGTTCCTGCCACTCTCCTGCCTCAGCCTCCCAAGTAGCTGGGACTACAGGCACCCGCCACCGCGCCCGGCTAATTTTTTGTATTTTTAGTAGAGACGGGGTTTCACCGTGGTCTCGATCTCCTGACCTTGTGATCTGCCCGCCTCAGCCTCCCAAAGTGCTGGGATTACAGGCGTGAGTCACCGCGCCCGGCCCACACTAGACTTTTAATCCCAACTTTCCTACCTGAGAGAAATAGCATGAAAAGTGACATAAATTTTTATAAAATCTGTCAGAAGCTGGGCCTATAAATTAACTGTACTCTGAGACTGGAACCCTTTCCATCATCTTACAGCTTTAACGGAAGTTTATATTAATATCTGTAAACAAAACTTTCATTGCGGTTCACTATTTGTGATCATTGATTTTTCAACTTGATATACAAGGCGATTTAAAAAACTAACCTTCTGTCTCTTTTTCTGTTTCTCCTTGCAGTTTGTTGTATCACACAGAGCAAGGAGTGGATTGAAAATTAGTGTGCTCTCGTGCAAGCTTGCGGATCCCACTGAGGCAAGCAGAAACTTATCTGGACAAACACGTGTTTAAAATGGCCTAGCATTTTAAACTCTGGAAAAGTGTATGAGCTTTAACTCCGTTTCAAATGGAATCTTAATTTGAAAATTATGGGGAAAACTGCATTTTGTTTACATGTGATGAATATGTTTCTAGAAATTGTTATGGTGGAGCTGGTCTGGGGTGAGTCTGAAGGCCTCTCTCATCTGACCTCCCTTCTCAGAAGGCCTCCTACTGTCTTTGCCTTGTCTCCTCCCAAGTTGGAAAATGTTTACATGAATTAATAAAGGGATTTAATCTTCTACAGATTTGAATGATTTATTTTCTTAAACCAATTTATTCTTTGTCTTGGTTCCCTGGAAAAAGAGTAGGACCTCAAGCCTCGGGCACGGTGGCTCACGCCTGTAATCCCAGCACTTTGGGACACCGAGGCGGTCAGGAGATAGAGACCATCCTGGCTAACATAGTGAAACCTCATCTCTACTAAAAATACAAAAAATTAGCTGGGTGTGGTGGCATGTGCCTGTAGTCCCAGCTACTCGGGAGGCTGAGGCAGGAGAATCTCTTGAACCTGGGATGTGGAGGTTGTAGTGAGCTGAGATCGAGCCACTGCACTCCAGCCTGGGCGACAGAGCGAGACTCCATCTAAAAAAAAAAGTCAGACCTCTAAAGACTACCTTCTGAGAGCTGGGTGGTGACTCGTCATCCGACAGGATGAGGGCGAGGGGCTCTCTGCACCGGGTGGGAATAGCCGAAGTCATGGGCAATCCTGTGCGACTGCTTTGAGCACCTGGAGCTTTTCTAGCCCCTGGTCTTCTCTGGTGACACACTAGAGTGCCCAGTGCTTGTGGAGACTTGCTGGCTCAGGACTGACATGACTGAGTCTGAATCAACAGGGAGGAGACCAACTTCAAAAGTTTCATGAGCGTGCCTGGGTCTCAGAACTCTGAGGGGGACCTACTCAGGACATGAGGACGACAGCTGCCATTTTATCTGTTTGCTTTGCAGCAGCCACAAAGAAAACTGCTCAACTTCACACCATTGAGAGTCACTTGCTTCAGGGCACAGACTGCAGCCTGTGAAGACCCACCGCTAAGGTCATTGTTGACCAACATCCTGGGAGGTTTGACCTGGTACTTTAGAAGGCTACACGTCCTCCACGACAGGATTGGAAAAAAGGAAAAAGTGAGTATATGAAACTGTTTCCTAAGGCTGGTGTTGGGAGATAAACTATCTTGCTAGTCATGTTTTATCTGGCTGTTACCAGGTGCGGCCACAGAGGAGGGATGCAGGTTCACCCCTACGTGTCCAAATTGTGGTGATAAGGTAACGAACGACTTGACCTAGTTGTGCAGAACAGGCCTTACATCCTTCCATCCTCCCTTGGGAGAAATGGCGGCGGGGGGGGGGGGGGTTGTGAAGCAAGGTGAATGAGGAGGGTGGATAGGGAAGGAAGGAGAGGAGAGAAGTGAGGGTGCCATGGCTGGTGCTGGCTTGGCTCCCACTGTTGGTTCAGCAAGAGTGGGTATGGTGCCCCCTCCACTGAGCCCCGTGTCCAGGAGCTCAGGAGATGCCACCTTACTTGGTTAATTTTAAAACATTTTGTAGAGACAGGGATCTTGCCATTTTGCCCAGGCTGGTCTTGAATTCCTGGGCTCAAGTGATCCACCTGCCTCAGCCTCCCAAAGTGCTGGGATTACAGGTGTGAGCCACCATGCCCAGCCGACACTTACATTTTTAAGAAAAAGAGGAAAATAATTATATGAAGGTTTTAGCATATTTGAAAGGTAATATAAAACTATCTTGAAAACAAAGATACTATACCAACATTTACACCAAAGGTGCACCCAACAATAGTCTTGTTAAAAAAAAAAAAAAAAAAACTGAGGCTGGGTGCGGTGGTTCATGCCTGTAATTGCAGCACTTTGGGAGGCCGAGGCGGGCAGATCACGAGGTCAGGAAGATCAAGACCATCCTGGCTAACACAGTGAAACCCCGTCTCTACTAAAAATACAAAAAATTAGCCGGGCACGGTGGCGGGCGCCTGTAGTCCCAGCTACTCAGGAGGCTGAGGCAGGAGAATGGCGTGAACCCAGGAGGTGGAGCTTGCAGTGAGCTGAGATTGTGCCACTGCACTCCAGCCTGGGCGACAGAGTGAGACTCTGTCTCAAAAAAAAAAAAAAAAGTAAATGGAGGATGCTCCCTGCATCGTTGTTTCTAATTAGCAGAGCATCTGAAATGTGTGCAACCTGTTGGGGATGTCCCACCCAGAGTCTCTTCACTTGCTGAGGTCCCTCAGCTTCTATGAGGATCAGAAAATTACCTGAGGAAGCTATGGAAGGGGTGGGGAGAGCAGATACTGGTGCCAACAGACTCCTTGCTTCAGAACTTCCCCTTGGGTTCACCAGCTTTCTGAAGCTGGTATCCAGCGCAGACCACTTTCTTCCTTGGAGTTTACTCCCTGTCCTTTCTGCTTCATTACACTTCTGAGAGCACTCCTTCAGCAAATCATGGGAGCAAGAATCTCCATCTTAGGCTGTGCTTCTGGGGTACGTGATCTAAGATACAGTCATTAAAAAGGGGTACCTGGGCTGGGCGCGGTGGCTCAAGCCTGTAATCCCAGCACTTTGGGAGGCCGAGACGGGCGGATCATGAGGTCAGGAGATCGAGACCATCCTGGCTAACACGGTGAAACCCCGTCTCTACTAAAAAATACAAAAAACTAGCCGGGCGAAGTGGCGGGTGCCTGTAGTCCCAGCTACTCGGGAGGCTGAGGCAGGAGAATGGCGTGAACCCGGGAGGCGGAGCTTGCAGTGAGCTGAGATCCGGCCACTGCACTCCAGCCTGGGCGACAGAGCCAGACTCCGTCTCAAAAAAAAAAAAAAAAAAAAAGGGGTACCTGTACTTACATTCACTGGCCTGGAAATATGTTCATAATATATTAAGCGGATGTGTAATACTAATTTTTTATAAAAGTCCAATGAACATGTTTTAAAAACACAACAGAAGAACAGATGTCAAGCCATATATTCTGTACAGACTAATATATTATGAAGTGTGATAATGGTCTCACATTTCCATGTAGGAGAATATCCTGATTCTTAGGAGATGTATGCTGAAAGGGCAGAGTGTTTCTGCAGTCACCATCCCAATGCATTTTCAAAATAAGGGGGTGTGTGTGTGTGCGCGTGCGCATATATATACACACATATATAGAGAGGTGCGTGTATGTATATATACACACATATGGGGGGGGTGGGAGGAAAGGCGAGACACAGGACCAGAGGACAAACAGTGAGTGCTGGTAATTGTTGAATCTATTAAAAGGCATATGGAGTTCATTGTATTAGTTTTTCAACTTTTTCCTAGGTTTAAATGTACTCAAAATGTGGAAAAACGTTATCTTCTGAATGCTAGGATTACTATGATTTTAGCATTATCAGGAATTGTCAGACTTGGTGTCTTTGTTTTTGATTCTTGCATCTAAGGACTTCGTGTGCCTACACTTGCAATGCTGATGTCGATGTTTGTGACAAAGCTTGTTGTACCACTGTGGTGAACACTGACCCTGGGGGTACCGTACTCAGTGCTGGCTTGTGCCACCTTACTAGGGTTGCATGTGAGCAATGCTTCTACTTTATGCCTTTGACTTTAATAGTCTGTCAACTTGGTAGATGTATCTCAGCTGAACCTTGTACCTGTTAGCTAGACAAATAATACACTTTCAGCATAAGCACACCCTTTGATCCAGCTCTTCCACTTATGGGAACCTAGCCAACAGCACATGTGCTGATACTAGCAAATCATTAGAGACAATCTCAAGGTCCAAAAATGGAGGCTTGACTTCAGAATCTTACGCAATCCATGAAAATTGTACTGCAGGAATGTGTCAGCTAACAAGGAAAAAGATGGTCACAATATACAGTGAAATAAGCAAGTTAAAAAATTTTATGGTATAGCTGGGCGCGGTGTCTCATGCCTGTAATCCCAGCACTTTGGGAGGCTAAGATGGGTGGATCACTTGAGGTCAGGAGTTCGAGACCAGCCTGATCAACATGGTGAAACGCTGTCTCTACTAAAAATACAAAATTAGCTGGGTGTGGGGGCACATGCCTGTAATCCCAGCTACTCGAGAGGCTGAGGCAGGAGAATCACTTGAACCCGGGAGGCAGAGGTTGCAGTGAGCCAAGATCACGCCACTGCACTCCAGCCTGGGCAACGAGTTAAACGCCATCTCAAAAAAAAAAAAAAAAAAAAAAAAGAAGAAAAAAAGCGAAAAAAGAAGAAAATTGTATGGTATGAGCAAACTCTATTTAAAACATTACAATTATATCCACAGATTTGGAAGAACTTGGACTAAATGCTTAACTTCGGCTGTCCCTGGGTAGATGAAATTTTTGGTGTTTTGTTCTAATTGCTAATCTCTATTTTCTGACTCTTCTCTAATTACATGCATTGCCAAGCAATGAAAAAAATAATACTAAAAGTAGTTAAGATAGCATATTTAATAAAGAAATCAAATTATGGCAATTCCTCATACTAAATTATACTATAAGCATGGGTTGTAGCATACCTAAATGTCTGATTCTTCTTATGTACCTACTTACAGGATGCAGCCCACATTGTGGTCAAAACTTCAGGTTCTGGTCTTGGGAGAGTGGGTTACATCTTGGCTCTGCCACTAAGCTGAGTGACTTTAGCCAGCCTTCCTAGCCTCTAGATCTGTCTTCATTTGAGTAATGGGTATGGTAGTGATAATACTAACCTTATGGCTTGGTTGAGGGTTACATAACACATGGAAATACAGAATAAACTGCTTGACATGCTGCGTAACAGTATTGTGTTCAATAAATGGTGACCATTATTACTAAATTAGATGTCCTAGGCTTTCTTCAAGGGGCCAGCAGATGATGTGTACACTAACAGGAACCCCTGCCGAAGCCCAGAGGACTCCTCCAGGCATTGATAGCTATGCTGTGCATCTTGCCTAGACTTTTTTTTCGCAGAAAGGTGCAGGCAAGAGCAAAAGCAGCAGTCCCAGGCTATTCAACTTCCACAAAGCCTCCTTATCTCCGGTTGGGAAGTACAGTTGCTGATTAACTCTGTTAATAGAGCACAGTGCTCAGAAGGCTAAAGGTCAAAGACTAAGGTCTAAAGCCCCACAAGGAGGAAATATCCCTCCTCGTCACTACTGGGGAGAAATAAATTAGTAAAGCTACATACAAGGGAGCACCTTTATTTGGAAAGCAATAATTTCAAAATCATCCCTCGAACTCAGAATCGATGGGTCTGGGTAGATACCCTAAGAAAACAGGTGAAATCTTCATTAATTGTTTGCTTATTAAGAAAAATTTTAAATTAACTGATTACATGCAGGAGTGTTTTTCACATTTCCTGGTAAGAATCACTTGGAACGCTCTGTAAACACAGCTTCACTGGAGATTAATCCTATCAAATGGATTCAGCCAGTCTGGGATGGGCCAGTAATTTGGAAATTATTGTTTTTACAAATGCTTCCTGATGATGACCGAGTCCAAGAAAATTTAGTAAACAATGGAAAGTTATCTGGAACATAATTTTCAGTTTTTTCTGCAGCTTTTAAGTCTTGAACTACTAGAGATAACCCACTGAAAAGTCTTCTCCAATCCAGGTTTACAAAAGGAAACTCAACATTTGGTTTGATAAAATGTTTTCTGAAGAAATACTTTACTTTGGCTGTTTTCATTTCTGGCCTATCCATTTTACTTCACGTTTTCTTGAAGAGTCCATCTTATATGAGTTGAGGCATAGCAATCTAATCGTTTTTAAAATAAATGGTTTCTTTTTATTTTTTTTTGAGACGGAGTCTCGCTCTGTTGTCCAGGCTGGAGTGCAGTGGTGTGATCTCGGCTCACTGCAAGCTCCGCCTCCTGGGTTCACGCCATTCTCCTGCCTCAGCCTCCCGAGTAGCTGGGACTACAGGCGCCCGCCACCACACCCAGCTAATTTTTTGTATTTTTAGTAGAGACGGGGTTTCACCGTGTCAGCCAGGATGGTCTTGATCTCCTGACCTCGAGATCCGCCCGCCTCCGCCTCCCAAAGTGCTGGGATTACAGGCGTGAGCCACCACGCCCAGCCAATAAATGGTTTCTTATTAAAGGATTGTGACATTTAATAGCCGTTGCTTGCTCTTGTCTTTTTCCCTTCTCTCCCGAAACTTGTAAAGAAATAACTCAATATTCTGGCTTTTCCACCTTAAATCTCATACTGACCAGCCCGTGTATGCCAGCCTCGATCTCATCGTTTTCTTTAACCGGTCCAACTCCCTTTGGCGTCCCAGTCAAGATAATATCTCCTTCTTCCAAGGTTATGATCTTAGAAACATAGCTGATGATGTAGGGGATGGAAAAAATCATGGAGGCTGTCTCACCCTCCTGTCTGAGTTCGCCGTTGACCTTGAGCCAGAGCTTCAGCTTGTGAGGGTCAGGGATCTTCTCCTTGGGCACAAACGCGCTGACCGGGCAGGACGCCGTGAAGCTCTTGGCCAGAGTCCAGGGCAGCCCCTTCTTCTTGCACTCGTCCTGCACGTCCCGGGCGGTCATATCTAGGCACAGGGCATAACCGCCCACGTAGTCCATGGCCGCGGCCTCGGGGACCGCGCGGCAGCGTTTGCCCATCACCACGCCCAGCTCCAGCTCGTGGTGCAGGTTGCGAGTGTACGCGGGCATGAGGATGGGCGAGCCCTCGGGCGCGTAGGCCGTGGACGGCTTCAGGAACAGCACGGGCTCGCTCAACACCGCGCTGCGCATCTCCCTGACGTGGTCCGCGTAGTTCCTCCCCACGCAGACGATGTTCTTTCCCCACTCCCAGAAGCGGGACAGTGGCCGGGAGGCTGCCATGATTCCCATCAAGTGCCCCTGTAGTCACGTGCGCTGGGCCGGTCAGCTGATGCCTACGGCACCCCGGAGAGGACCAACTGCCTCGGAACGCTGTCCCCGCAGCGACGGCTCGTTCCACCTCGCGATCTGCCGGGTGCCCGGGCGGCGTGGCGCTCGGCCACCAGGGAGCCACTTCGCGGTGCCAAAAAAGAGGCGGAGGCTCGCGGCACAACTCTCCTGGCGCATCTCTCGGGCCGCCGCCCCCGCTCCCAGGCCTGTCTACCGGCCCGTGGCAGTCGGGGCTCGTGGAGGAAACTAGTTGAGCGCGAGCGCGTTGATTGGCTGGCGGACGGTGCGAGGCGGATACTGATTGGCTGAGGGCAGCCCGAGGGGGGCGCTGATTGGCTGAGACGCGTCGACGCCGGTGTTTTGCAGCCCGGAGCCGCCCGGCCGTCCAGCCCGGCTCCGGTCATGGTGCTGGGCCGCGGGCTGCTCGGCCGTCGCAGTCTCGCCGCGTTGGGAGCCGCCTGCGCCCGCCGAGGCCTGGGTGGGTGCGACGGGGCGGTGCGGGTCAGGGGACGCGGGCCTGGCGGGGCGGGCAGCGGGCGGCGCCGGGCCGTCGGTTGGCGGCCGCTGACGCGGTTTCTGTTGCGCAGGTGCCTGAGGCCGCGCTGCCCGGCTCGAGTGGAGGCGGGGCAGGCGCTGAGGCGGGCGCGGAGCGGGCGCGGGGCCGCGGGTGCGGAAAGCGCTAGGTAAGCAGGGCCAGGCCTGCGTCCGCCGCGGCCTCCACGCTCGGGCTGGGCCGGCCGTGCCTCTGACGCCTCCAGGGCATCGCGTCCTGCCCGGGCCGGCGCCGAGGAGAGCCTGGGGCGCGGTTCTGAGGCGCAGCGGGCAGGGCCCCGGGACGCCTGGCCCACCCCGCACCTGCTGCCCGGCTGCAACGACCGCGCTCTCGCGGCGCCGCCTGCGGTGGTGGAGCTGCCCGCCCGGCGCCGGAGCCTCCCTGTCTGGGGACCCGGCGTGTCATTCGCCCGAGGTGGTCGCGAGGCCGGCCAGGCCAGCGCCCCGGGCGGGTGCGCAGCGCAGGGCACTGGGCGGGCGGAGGCGCAGGCAGGGAGGCATCCCTGGTGGTTTCCAGATCTCCCCAAAAGCTGTCAAGGCTCTGCAGGGGGTAAAATGTCCCCATTGGTAAGGAACGGACATGGATTTAGAGGTCCTCAGAATTACAGTTTTAGGGACATTAGGGACATTCATAAGGGCCCAGGCAGAGAGTTCCAGCGGGACTGTGTGCATCGGCAGGGCGTGCCTGCCTCATTCTAAGGGATCCCCCAGCCCCCGTATTTAGTGCCGCCCAGTTCAAGGGAAGCAAGATGCTGTGAAACTTCCTGATTTAAGAAAGAAGTGCAGTGACGCACGCCTGTCATCCCAGCAGTTTGGGAAGCCAAGGCGGGAGGATCCCTTGAGTCCAGGAGTTCCAGACCAGCCTGTCAACATGTTGAGACCTCATCTCTATAAAAACTAAACAAAATCAGCCGGGCGTGGTGACACACAACCGTAGTCTCAGTCACTTTGGTGGCTGAGGTGGGAGGATCGCTTGAGTCCAGGAGGTCGAGGCTGCAGTGACCCGTGATCGCACCACTGCACTGTAGCCTAGGCGACAGAGTGAGACCATATCTCAAAAAAAAAAAAAAAAAAAAAAAAAAAAAAATTTTTTCTGTGGGCCAAACCAAACATTTCTGGACTTGGCGCAGGCCCCAAGCTGCAGGTCCTTGGCCTGTTTGTACAAAGTATTACAGTTACAAAACAGCGAGCCGGGAACATTTTCCAGGCAGTGTTGGGCTGAGTGATAGGGAAAGGGAATAAGGTTTCTGCTGGTGCTGGCACCAGCTGCGTCTTTCCTCAGAAATAAAGGCACCTCCATGGGTTGTCAGCTTCTTTAGGAGGCTGTGATGGTCCCCATGGGAGGCTGAGCACCAGTTGTGAGGCAGTGCAGTGGCCAATCTTGGCTCACTGCAACCTCTGCCTCCCACGCTCAAGCAAGTCTCCTGCCTCAGCCTCCTGAGTAGCTGGGACTACAGGCACTCGCCAACACGCCCGGCTAATTTTTGTATTTGAGTAGAGATGGGGTTTCACCATGTTGGCCAGGCTGGTCTCTAACTCCTGACCTCAAGTGATTCACCTGCCTCAGCCTCCCAAAGTGCTAGGATGACAGGCATGGCCACTGCACATGGGTAATATTTTTGTTTGTAATGTTCTGCTAGTATCAATGGAGCTCCTTTCCAGGAGGATGCCTTGGCACTCAGGGAATCCTGTCGCAGCCCTTCTGTACCCCACCTGCCGCCCCCAGCACCCACACTGCTTGGTGTGCTCTTTGGGCTGGGGTGGTACTGAGGCTAAGGGGAAGGGGAATATCGCAGGAAGCTGCTCATATAGAAATCTCAGTATATTGTACCTGAGGAGAATGATCTGGAAAATGCCCAGCTGATTGTCAGACGGGTGATAGGATATCCTTGAACAGTGAAACTATAGTTTGGGCAGTTTCTCTGGCTGTGGAAATAAGGTCGGATTCCCCATTTAGATGGGCCCTGGAGACGTGTGTGTCTGTCAGTTGGAGGGTGCTGCCCATTTCTGGATCCCTTTTGGGAGAAGCCCCTGCCCTGGCACCTATCCCAGGATTGCACTGTCCCCTGCCACCTTCTGTGGTTTCTGCCCCCTGTAGAGCGGAACTGAAGGTATTGTCGAGGCCCCCATGTATTTTTAGATTTAGTAGGAGTTTCATTGCTGAAAATACTTTTGCATTGGTCGACTGGGTGGTAGACGCTTTTGTCCCTTGGCCACCCACTCCTCCCACCTCCTGGGCCCCTGTGGCAGAGTCCTTTGGGTCAGTTGGATGGTGGTTTTGTATCTTCCACAGTTGAATCTGGCGCAGTTGTGGCCGGCTTTCCATCTCAAAGGAACTGCTGATTCTTGTGCACATCTCACATTCGTGCCATTCAAGAGCAAGTATTGGTTTTTTCTGAGACAGAGTCTCACTCTGTCGCCCAGGCTGGATTACAGTGGGGCAAGCTTGGCTCACTGCAACTTCCACCTCCCAGGTTCAAGCGATTCTCCTGCCTCAGCCTGCTGTCAAGTATTGGTTCTTTCTGGCTAGAGGCTGAGAAGGGCTGTAACTGCATGGAATGCAGGCTCGCTTAATCAGTGGTGGCAACACAGCTTGCTGGAGGGCAGATGGCCAGGCTGGGGCACCCCCAGTCTGCGTTCCCTTCTTCATGTTCTGTCCAAGTCCGGGGTGTGAATACCCCAGAACTAGCAGCAGTTTGCCTCACAGTCACAAGCTGGTCATCCTGTCCTTTTAGAGTTCTCAAAAAAGAAAATAGAGATCATAAGTCTGAAACAGTTGATTTCCATGAATGTGAGCATGAGTCAGTTCCTATGTTTTCCTTAGGGATATATGAAGATACTCGTTTTGGTTCTTTTTTTTGTTTGTTTTTCTTTGTTTTTCTTTCTTTCTTTTTTTTTTTTTTTTTTATTAACAGGTTCTTGTCTTGTCACCCAGGCTGGAGTGCAGTGGCACAGTCATAGGTCACTGCAGCTTCAAACTGCCGGGCTTAAGCCTCTGGAGTAGCTGGGACTACAGGCACGCACCACCAGGCCTGGCTAATTTTTAAATTTGTAGAGACAAGGTCTTGCTATGTTGCCCAGGCTGGTTTCAAACTCCTGCCCTCAAGCAGTCCTCCCACCTCAGTCTCTTAAAGCTCTGGGATTCCCGGCAAGAACCACTGTATCGGCCAGGCACGGTGGCTCACGCCTGTAATCCCAACACTTTGGGAGGCCGAGGCAGGCGGATCATGAGGTCAGGAGATCGAGACCATCCTGGCTAACACGGTGAAACCCCCTCTCTGCTAAAAATACAAAAAATTATCCAGGCGTGGTGGCGGCGCCTGTAGTCCCAGCTACTCAGGAGGCTGAGGCAGGAGAATGGCGTGAACCCGGGAGGCACAGCTTGCAGTGAGCCGAGACCGCGCCACCGCACTCCAGCCTGGGCAACAGAGTGAGACTCCATCTCAAAAAAAAAAAAAAAAAAAAGAACCACCGTACCTGGCCAGGATATTCCCTTTCAAAGGAACCTAGAAAGGCTGGGAAGCACTGCATTTTGTGCGTCCTGTCGTGGAGGGCCTGGCGTGGACACCCGCTGAGTTGTGCTCTGTGTCTGCAGGTCCAGCCCTGCTGGGAGTTCTCCACCACACAGATTTGCGGAAGAATCTGACCGTGGACGAGGGCACCATGAAGGTGGAGGTGCTCCCTGCCCTGACCGACAACTACATGTACCTGGTCATCGATGATGAGACCAAGGAGGCTGCCATCGTGGACCCGGTGCAGCCCCAGAAGGTGCGCATGGCTGTGCCCAGCTCTCTCTGCCCTCATCATCCAGCTCGGAGTTCTCACCCCCGATGGGTTTCCTAACCGCAGTGTCCTTGCAATTTTGCCTAAGCTAAATGGAAATTAGTCGCCAGCCACTCTGTTACAGGGCCCCACAAAGCGTGGAGGCAAGAGGCAGTGACAGAAAACGCTGTGCCGTAAAATTCCGGGCACTTGGCTCTTCTTGGAGGCTTTCTGCCCCTGCATGCTACCTCTGGGGGTGGTGCCCTCAGAGCTAGAGGGGCTTGGGGCAGTCGTAGGTAGTTGCAAGAGTCAGGCTGAGCAGGAAGGAGAAGGTGCTTTTCACTGGCTCTGCTGGAGCAGGGCAAGCTGGCAGGGTCAGGACAGGCCATGTCAGCGGCCCCTCCTGGCATGTCCTGGGTTCCGCTGGGCACCCTACTGTGTAGGCCGGCAAGCCAGGCCTGGGAGTGTGATGGGCCTTTGTCCTGCCTGGGGTCACTGCAGGTCGTGGACGCGGCGAGAAAGCATGGGGTGAAACTGACCACAGTGCTCACCACCCACCACCACTGGTAAGTGCTGGCGCCACGGGGGCCTGCGTCTCACCTAGGGGTGCGGGACCCGGCTGACTTCTCGCCCTGGTGGGTTTGGGGACATCGAGA